GTATTGCTATACCTGAGACTGTTTCAGCAAGCCGAACGAGTTGTATTAGTGATCGATTTAAGAGTGCAAGGACAACTAAATTATCAGCAAATTCCCAGAATGTTAATGCGTAAAGTAAATTGCTTCGTGGGTAGTTTATCCATTGATTAATTAACTAAATCAATCGCTTTTTTTCAGAAGGGATAAAAATAGTGCAATACACAAAAACGAAAATAAATTATAAAGATTAGATACCATTAACTTCAATGTAAAGAAATACATATAATGAAACTAAGAATTAAGTCAAACATAACTGATTACCTCATAAGATAAGGTTGTTTGATGGTTATATGTCCTCTTTGGATTTTTTTTATTGAAAACGTCGCAACAGTAAACAAATAACGCTATTAGAAGTTTTAACATAATTTCTCAAATAGACACTCGTAAGTCGTTCTATTGCAAAAAATTGAGACAGAACTTGTTCTAAAATGGTTTATTTTGAAAAATTGAGACAGAACTTGTTCTAAAATGGTTTATTTTGTTTAAAAAAATCGCATTGCTAGTGAAATATCAGTCGTCAGGAATATTCTTGGAAAGCTTGTATGATAATTATTTTTGTAAAAAGTATTAAAAAGAAACCCGACGGTATGAATCTATTTATTTAACTGGTTCTGTAACACACAATGAATGCATAATACCATTGCCGCTTATTAATTTACAAATTTATCGTAGCTTTATAAAAGTTGGTGTTTAGAAAAATCAGTGGTGGCAAAGTTGAACGTATAAATTTGGTAAGAATTTTAAAAAATCAGCAACACAGAGGCTGATTTTTAATTTTATGTATTTTAATTCTAAATCTTACTTTTTCCACACGTATGAAAACTATAATATTATACAAACTATAAATCTGATCCAACAGTGATCAATTCAGTTGCATGTTTTTTTAAATTTTATTTAACATGTAACATGCATTATTAAATATATATATGTACAGAGCAAAAACTTGCTTGACATATCTGAAATAACAATAAGTAAATTTTAAACAAAAACTTGAATAATGTTCAACAATGAAAGGATAGTGACAGTGACGAGTATCTACAATACACCACTAATGTATTCTTGTAAAGTAAAAGTCATTTTCTACACAGCGTCGTAAGTAATTTTTTTTATGATGAACGAATGCTTCCGTGATATGATTTTTAGTTCTCATCATTAAATTTCTGCATCGCATCGCTGCAAAACAATTGAACTTTTAACATTACGCTGTATCTGTTTACATTAGTGGCTGCTATCACATCTTACGTTAACGCAACATTATTAAACACTCAAGAGTAAAATTAATAAGGGAAATTATTATCAAAGTTTGAAAAAGTACATGTTTTTCATTAGCTAACTATTTTTAGAAAAAAGTATTTCACGTGATGCTGAAACGTTGTAGATTTTTTTTTGTCATTTTTGAAGGACATTATGTTGATAATGGTAGCATAGTATGTGAATATTTAAGCTAAATAAAACTGAAACGGCTAGTATATGTGTTTTGACGTATAGTATACAGTTATACACATATTTAAGGTTGGAAAGTTGGTGTGCTATATTTATCGTTATATGTTCCCTTTTTTCGTTTCTTAGATAACAAAAACATGCATGTATTATTTAAATAATATAGCGTAAAAGGTAATTAACTGTTATCTCTTTTTGTTTTTATTTAAAAATATTAATGATGTCATAACGTTTACCACAACAGTAAAAAATGTCAGAATATTGTTAAAGCGTCCTGTCAGATACACTGTTTAAAAGGTCCAAAAAATTCTCTTAAACTTAAAGTTGAATGTCGTTTTTCTGAAAGTCTTCATGCAATTCTTTAAAATTCGAATTTAGGTTGGTTTTGCAATAAAAAGTCATGTCGTTGATAACACCAATTTTCAACGTGTTCACTGACATTGACACTGACAGATGCACATACGTGTCTAAATTACCAACCTACCACGATTAGAAATCTAAAAATTACACATTATATATTAATAAAGCTAAAGTTTGACAATAGAGTTTTATCCAGCTTGTTTAAGTAGGAACATAATACATAAAATAATAATTTATTATAGAGTCACTTTACATTAGCTCTCATCCTTTTAAAATATTATAAAGTCATTAAAATAATTAAATTACGTTTTAGGGAAATACAATAAAACATGTTTTCCCTGCTCTTAATGTGTAATAATACCATATTAAATATATTAACAAAAATTGGTCTAAGATTATTTAGATTGATTTTGCAAATTTTACTCTTTTTATTGTGACCCCTATAATCTAAAGTAAAAATGGTAATATGTAGTGTTAAAGTAAAGGGCAAAGAAGCATGCTGTTATACGTTTCAAGTGAGTTTTCCACCACACGAAAATGAATGTGCTTTACTAAACAATGTTTAATAAATATATATGTATAATAAAAATAAATTTTAACAGAGTTGTTAATTTTATTGTACAGAAAAATGAGACCAAGTTGTATCTTTTCGCGTGTCAGCAATTAAACTTTAGGTTTATTGTAGACATATACTTCATAGTCTTTACAAAAATAAGTTTTTCAATTGAACGTTTGATATATCAATTTATTATTAATTATTATTATTATTTAGATAGGTATACAGTGTAAAATACTAATGATAAAAGTTATTTATTCCCCAATATTTTAAAGAATACTATGCACATTAAGAAATAAAGCCAAAATATATTTTGCCTTTTTTCTTGATATATGTAGTGCTCTTTTCCGAACAAGAAACTTAAAACATGTTTAAAATAGTAAATTATTGTAGACAAATATGGATCTTGCAGTTAAGCTCCGCCCCTTGATCTGACAACGAATGAGAAATTCATCACAATTGAGAATTGAGATCGAGGCGGGTATGGGTGGGGCCTAATCTTTGGCTTTATTTTTTCCTTAATATACAATGCATTCTTTGAGCAACACGATACTCAAAAATATGTTTTTAATTTCTCGTAGAGAAAGGATTTTGCAGTTAAACTCCGCCCCCTTGGCTCACGACGAATAAAAAAATCATCATAATTGGGATAGGGCAGGTGGGCGGGGCTATATTTTGCCTTTTTTTCTTAATATGTGTAGACTTATGTCGACAACAAGAAACAAAACTTGTCTAAAATGGTAAATTTATATAGGGAAATATCGATTTTGCAATTACGCTCCTCCTCTCGGTCTGACAACGAATGAAAAATTCATCATGATTGAGATCGAGACGGATGGGTGGGATTAATAAAATAAAATAAATATTTTTTTTTGAGTCTTTTTGTGAGTGAATTATAACAAAATTTGAAATGATGTGTCTATTTTTTGGAGGCGGTTAAACATGAAACGTCTAGAAACAAGAAAGTAGCCGTTCGCCGGGTGGCCCTTAATACGACACTTCCTTAGCTTCTGACTGGGAAGTAAAAATAACTGACACATGTTTTTAAACGTTTAAAAAATTACATAAATATTGAAAAAAGAAATAATAATGGGGAAAATAAAAATTTTGGCGTTTTTAATTTTATCAATAATAAAAATAATTAAGTAGGGACGATGGTATGTTGAAAAAGTAAATATCATAAATTTAAAGTGAATATAAATATCTCCAAATTAAAACTTTACCAGCTTATTATGTCTCGAGATCTGTTAGAGATATTGAAACTCTGTAAACGCCAATGTTTTTATCTCGAAGGAGAAAGCTTAACTTAGTGATTGCAAATATGATGCACATATGACGTCGGGTTCATTTTCAGTTGATAAAAAGATGAAATTTATAAATATGTATAAAAAATTTAAGTTCTACTGATAAAGCACTCACATTTTATTTTGTAATCAAGAAAGTGTGTAAATAAAGATCAATGAAAAAGGACAGAACGATATGCAAAAGAAAAAAAAAAAGGGACGAAGGAAAAGGAAGAACGTAGGAACACAAATTTAGAGATCCAAATAAAGCACAAAAAACCCTCTAATCTAGAAAACAAATGCAGAACTAATTGGTAATCCGCTTTATACATATTTTTATTTTTTCACACAAAATTTACTTTATGTCACTTCAAAATTATACATAGTAAAGGAGTTTTAAATTTTATAAAAAAATTAGTCCTACACGTGCATTTTATGAATCCATATTGAGTTTTTCCCCGAGACATACAGATTTTTGGAAAAACCCAAAATTTTATAAGAACATTTTGCAATTTAATTTTGAATCTGCAAAACCAAATGCTTTGAAATTCTCCAGCCGTTTTAAATTAATCGATAGTATGGTAAATTTTCAATCAAAATATATCTGTTTATCCCCCAAAAAATTGATGATCATTTTAAAATTTTACCTAATAAATCCTACTAAAGGGGGACTCAAAAAAGTTAAGAAAGAGTTAATTTATTGTATGGCTCACACCATTTTTTTGAAAATTTTATTAAATTGATATACGAGTCCTTGCGAAAATGTTGTTGACGTCATCACAAAATTTTGTTATGGAAAAGCTCACTTGAAACATACGTACAGCGTGCTTTAGTTGTACTTCAACAATCCAGACTTACATTTATTTTATTAATATGGGTTCCACTCGGTTTACCATAAAAATATAATTCGCAAATTTAAATTTTATAATTTTTCGAAGAAGCCGATTTGTTCGGCTGTATTTTAAGGGTGAAGAAAGTTCAGTCTAAATAACTTCAGATCAAATTTTTTCGATTTATTAAACTTTTGAGAGAATTCGTAATCATTGCATTTAATTTAGGACGTTGTATTTAAACTTTTTTAATTTTCCCGATATTTAGTTAAATGTTTAAACGTACAATAATATCGTCGTAAAAATATAAAATTTTAAAAATTAAAAAAAATCATCGCAAAAGTCCCACATTGTAAAAACAGAAAGTCAACTTATTTTTATCAGACTGCGTCTTGACAACGGAAACACACTACAGATTAATAAATGTTACAATTTAAGGCATTGAAGAGCTCGAACTTGGACTAGAGATAACATTTCGATAGCACACTTTTCTAAGTTTCAAACTTCCGTAACCTTAGTCCGTCACAAAAACAGCACAAATATTATTCACCGAAGCAGTAGGTGATTATTTGAAAAAATTGTTTACTGCTGTGACATTAGTAAAGCTTAATAATTTACAGAAACTAAAAAACGTAGTGGGGGAACAATCAAAGAATTATTTAAGTACGATAGAATAAGTTGGGGGCGTGCTACATTCGTGCTACGTTCGACTCGAAGTGTTCAGCGTTCACCTGAAGCTCCTGAAACCTGAAACACATCATGCCTGTGACAGAAAGCATCGGTCGGAGACAATGTATTCCAATCCTTTATACACGAGGAACTCATTATGAAGTAGGATTTGATATTGTAAGTAAATACTTTTTTTAGTATTGAAATTATTTGGAAAACATATTTCTAAAATGTATAGGATTCGATAAGATTTATCGCAACAATGTTTGCTTACGATATCGCTCGTTAGTGACACATTTTTTTTTATACAAATATGAAACTTCAGGTGTTGACAACTAACTAAAAAATAACAAAAAATGCAAATTTTTATAGTGCGTAAATAATATTTCATTTTACTAAGTATTATCTGATTAGTCGATGCACAATATTCGATTATTGTAGTAACAGAAATAATATTAAAACTCATAAAATCAATAATGCGACCTCTTTGCCATTTATAATTCAATAAGATACAGTTGTAGTATGGATCTTTTAATTTTCAAGCATATTGATTAATTGTACGAAATGTTTCATTGAAGCTTTTTACAACACGTTTTTTATATTGTACTACAAACACTAGACACAGATGTTTTATTTGATGTCACACACAAAAAACAATGGTCAAATGTATCACGTTGCGACACAATTTAGCGATATAAATAAATAGTTCATTGCCATAGTTTTGCATTTTTGAATGCTTTCAATGCTTTTCTTATCTTATGTAAAGTTATAACTGTGTGTAAAAATTAGCGCCATTGTTCCAAAAATATTTGCATTTGTCATAAGTTGGATAACATATCCAACTCCACATTCTCGTTACCATTTTTTATTGCATTAAATATTTGCATGATGTTCTGAGGTAATCTGTCTACAAGGCGAAATTATTTACAGTGACTTAAAATGTAATAACAATTAGTTAATTTGTCAACAAGACAGCCTGTCAAGTAAAATTTTGGTTTTACCTTAACATTTTTAGGTAAAATTGGTGAAATACGCGGACTTTGGCCTTCAACAGGAAGACAATTATGTTTATTCCCAACAAGTTTAAGTTTGTCGGCAATGTCACAATTAACAAATTAGCGTCGTGTGCATTTAATAAACACGATAATGGCCTGTCATGATTACGGAACGAGGCAGGAAATTTGGAATTGTGAGACGCATTCTAACGGTTGATTGAAAGTTTTTTAATTCGCGCAATATCATTCATTATTTTTATTCAAGTTTTCAAATACAACCTGACTACAGCTACTTTGCATATCTAAGTGTTCTAATTACACTAGTAAACAACTTTGGACTTGTTTACGCTACTGTATTATTTTTTTTGATCCGTTGTATACGTATTTTTCATTAAAGATTTACCCGATAGTTTTTTAAAATGATGTCATTAAATTTTGGACAGGGACAAATGTATTAACTCTAAAATATATAACGTAGCACTAAACAAATCATTATTGTGTTTTCAAGGATTTAAAGAAAATAGATGAACCATTTCGGAGATAACGATCAATAAAATAAATATGTTCACATTTTAATGTTTTGAAAATATTGCTAAAGTTCAAGCCATTGCGTCTACCCGGTTTTACTTGTCATTGAAGATTTATTGACTGTTTGAAATAACGTCACTACTCAATTTTCGAATTTCAGTGATTATTGGTCTAAAGAGTACAAAGAGAAACATTGCAATATGAAACATATTTTCTTAAAACTTTCTTTGTGCTGTTGGATATTCCTTAGTAAATTTAAAAAATGAATTAACTTCGTAATGTCTAAGTAACGATGGGAATAACCACTGAACCTTGAAACAAGCAATCTTTCAAATGAATTGATAATCAAAAGGTTTTTCAAATGTATCCTCAGCTATAACTGTTTTAGAATCATTGGTGTTGTCTAATTAAATTAACCAAAAAGGGTTAGCTGTGGATTCTTATATGCAGTGTTCACATTCAAACTCATAATAGTAACAACTAAAATAAAACCGATTTTGGCAAATGGCATACCCTCTAAGAAAAAAGAGGGTGGGGGGGCGGTTCTAGTAGCTGCTAAAATAAGACTGATTTTGGCAAATGAGGTACCCTTTAAGAAAAGTGAGGGTGGGTGGGCGGGGATAGTACGTGTAATTCTTTTCAAATAGGAATGCCTAGAACCTCAAGATTGTTTTAAATTAAAAAAAAAAAAACGGGTTCCCTAAATTAACTCAAAAACAGGTCAGGTCAGAATTTTCCAAAGATAGAACACCAAAGTCCCCCAAAATTATTTTAAACAATAATCTCATAAAGTAAATAATTATGTCCAGTAAAGTGTTATTTTCTTTTTGTTTAGAATATGAATACAGTGTGTCCAATGAATTTAGTTTCTGAATTTTCGCACACAGTTTAGTTTTTTAAATAGAACACCCGTTTTTACATATCCTCCTTGGTTTTTTTCTAGGCTTAGCAACCACTTTTGAAATTCTTATGCGACGTTACCATGTTATTCCAATTTTATTTTTGATATGCTCTTTGTTGTGGTATTAACTAAATCAAATTTTAATATACAGTGTGTTTATAAAAATTATAAAACGTTAAAATTTTCAAACATCAATAATTCAGTTTTTTCAAATAGAAGACCCTCTACTTTATTACTGCAACTTCTTCGCTATAACTAGCAACTTTAAATATAGAAAATACTTAACAAAAAACAAAGAAAGCAAAAAACAGAGTAAGAGTAGTAATACAAAATACAATACAGGTGTTCTACTTAAATAAACTGTATAGTTAAGGTAAGAAGAGGTCAATTAGAAGATATAAACATAAACAGGGGGATAAAAAATGACGAAAAAGCTCGTTCCACCAAACTTTTGAAAATATTAAACGTCAAATGTAAAGAATTAACTTCGTAGTTTTAATTTGTTTTACCGAACTGCATGTCTAAATAATAGACACTTAAATGATTAGTTATTAATAATTTCATAATAATTTGCTAGAATACAATTCACAAGGTCATTTTTTACTGTTGACAGAAGTCATTTTTTACAATTTTTATCGGCGTTTTAGACTGTCAATTAAATTCATATTAAAACATATCACAGTTATAAAGTTAATTCTTCAACTTTAAAGTTTAATATTGTCAACAATGTGGTTGACGAATTTTTGTAACCATTTTTTCGAGTTCTTGAGAGCCTTCTTAGCAACGTACCATCGAGCTTATCTGTCATTTTTTGATCACCCTGCATAGGGTATTTCATTGGAAAAAAAACATGAAGTGTGTAACACCTGAAGAATAGAACAATTTGGAAAATTTAAAAAAATTTTCTTGTGTCGCCCTCAAAGAACCTTAGTCCTTGGCTTTTTTTCTATTTCTAATAATAATTAATGAGATATCGATGAGCGACTCACCCTGTATATTTTACTTGAAAGGTCTAATTGATACATTTCTCAACAGATGATATCGAGTGCTCAGTTGGCTATGATTTTTTGTAAGATTCTGAAGCATGTCTACAATAAACCAAAAATTTGATCAGTGACAGCTGACAACGGGAAAATGTCAATTATAAACAATCGTATGGATTAATACAACATATACGTTTTTTGCTACGTTTTCGTCTATCAAAAAAGCAACGCCAACTTGATGATTTTTTTAAATTAACACCCGTTATTTCACGTTTTGTTATTAAATTAATGTTATAAATGGACATTTCTGAAAGACGATTAATAAGTTAAATATAAGTATTTTTTTATTAACGTTTTAAAAACTTACTGTAAGTCCACAGTGATACCAACTGTCAGAAAATCGCTGTTCCTTTTGAATGGCTTTAGACTAATTCATTTAAGTTTGTCAACAAAAAATAGCTTGAAAATTTTGCAGTCACAATTTTTTTAGCTTCAGTGTAATCCTAAATTCAAGAGTGGAGATAAAAGTAAAAATTACAGGAGGCTACTAAATCTAGTTTAATTTTCTAGGTTGTTAAAAAAAAGATAAATTTCATGGCTTGCGAGAGGATTTTTTCTTCGATCATATGGTTTTGGTAATTTGTTTTTACTTATACGAATTAATTTTATATTAAAAAGCTCACTTCACCGTATACAACAAATATTATTAGTGACTAGATAGGTATGTAGAAAATATAAATATTTACTTCACTTTGTAGTGAAACAGAAAACTAATGTGGTTAGAAATAAAATTAAGATATACGAGATGTTAACCAATCCGTTAATAATATTACACTTTCTAGACTGAACGTACACTTCTATTATTACATAATATCGACTTTGTTTAATGGTGTAATAAGATGTTGTGTTTTATGTACACTTGCATGTTTTACTGTAATGGCAGTTATTACAATGTTATTAAAAACACATTAAAAATACTCCACGCGTTCTTGTGCATTAATTAGATCGCAATATTAATTAATATTCACTACGCAAAATACCTAATGTTAATTTGAAGCGCTTTGAACCTGTTTTTTATTAGATTCCAATGTTAATGTAATTCATGCATCGCTTCAACTCTGACCCCAAAATCAGGTTTTCTTTTAACCACAAGGTTTTTTATTTTTTCTAAAAAAATACACTAATAAATAGTCAAAAACTCGCCTCAATTCTGCGAAAAACAGTTAAAAATAGTATAAATAATAGAAAAATCTTTTGCAGGGTCATACTTTCGCTTCCCTTATCCAGACATTTTTGAAATCGTACAGTTTCCTTCACGAAGAGTTTTTGCCAGCTTACAACACCTGTGAAGGTCGAAAAGCTTACGAAGACACCCTGGACAGTGTCAAAGCCAATTTTCCTCAGTACGTTGACGAGATCCAAGGAACAGCGGATGGAGCGAAAGTACCTTTCCATGAAGTAAATATTTTTACAAATTAGAGTACCCTGCCTTCACAAATAAACATTGCAGCTGTTTCTTCTTCACCTGGATAATATAATCCTGAATTCTTTCCCTTCAAACGAACAGAAAAAGCAACCTACTGGATGTTCGAGCATTTGCGTGAATCATAAAGGACAGGTAATATCGTAATTAAAGCTAAAAGGAATTTATATGGCGCTCTTGATTCAATTAATGCCGGCATTACGTAAATTCAATTAAAGGAGTTAAAAAAGAAAATTTTTATGTTTTCCCACGACACGATACGTAATTGGATTGTTTTAAATATAAATTGTGTTATGTTGAGATAATCATAATATAAATGGTAAAAACTAGCGACATACATGTAATAACAAATAACAAGACGTTTTATACCTTAATTATGAATAAATAGTTGCGGTGGCTCATTTTTCTTTGTTTATGTGATAATATGGGGGAAAACGCGCAAGAATGTTGTTTGTTGTTAGTTGCAATTTAGTGAGAGCTTCTAACTGTCGAAGTTTCTTGTTAGTAGAAATTATTAATATTTATTTAATATAAAAACTCTTGGAAGCTAATTGTTAATGCATCAATGACACATTTCACTGAATTTCTTCCGATTCTCCACAGTTTTATTTGAATGCGTGTTGGGTTTGTTGATTTGAAATTCGTATTACGATTCGTCTGGTAGTCGTAGTTACACTTATTTCTTCAAGTAAAACCGTGTTAAAAGTTTCGAAAAGCTTGTTCTGATGCAAAGAATAATCTAAACTGTGGGTTTTTTTATCTCAAATGAAGCAAACCAGAGCGCTTGCATAAAATATACAATAAAGTCAATTACTATCTTTGAAGATTTCATTTGCGTACGATTAGTTTTATGCAAAACATTCCATAATAAGGTGATTTATTTACATGCCTAATTTTGCTATCTGGAAATACAGGAACGTCAAAGGACGCTGCTGACGTAGCTTTGAATTTGTTATAGATATTTGCATTACATACAAGTTAAATTAACTAACTTACCAAATGTTATCTAAATAGTTTGAAGTATTTTTTTAACGGAATAAGGTTAATTTTTGTAAAACTGAATATCATGTCTGAACACGTTTCCTACTATCTTTAGATATTGTAGTTTTAGACATTGTTTTACTTTTAAATTCTCAGATTGCATTGTACGCTTCTTTTTGATACCGCTATCTTCAATGCTTTTTATAAGATAAAATCAAAAATTTATAGTGATCACATTAGACATTTTTTAACTGATAAATCAGCTTATTCATCAGACATTAAGTAGTTTGTTTATTAAAAAAATGTTCTAAAATGTATATAATATTTTTTTTTATAATCTAGATCAGACATAGATGCAACCTCTATTTTTAGTTTTGTAGAATTCAATTCTTGCACGAGACAAAATACTTTGGGGAACCCCGTCAGTATCAGATTGCTGAAATAACCGGCTTTTGAGTCTGTAAAGTACAATTTATCCGGTTTTAAATCTCCGCATAAGAAGAACACGAAAAACGTTTATTCGATTTTTTAAAGATCCGGAATTTAAGTACTAACCCGGATCCGCAAAAATCCCACATTCGCACATCGACAATAAACTTTCGACCGATTATCTGTAACTGCCATCACATAACAGTATTATATGTCAGTGAAATGAAACGTTTCTTGACGTAATATTATCAAATATCAAACCACAGCATCGTTTAACAATAAAAAATGCATATACGGATCTCTTTTTCCATCGAATACCTTCTTGCATTAATAAGTCGATAAACAGATCACGACTTTTTGCACACATCACGTGTTTTGAAACGAATGTAGGTAGTATCACACTTTGATTTACAAACCATATGCACTGCATGCTTCGACTACCCACGAATTTAATCGAATTTACATAAATGCATTATTCTAAAAAAATTCTTTTCTCCTGAATGCATGCTGTAATTCCACACCGAAATAAAATTGAAATCAGCCTGCCACCATTATTTATGTATTAAAAAACTGCGCATGATAAATCCGTAAAGGGTGTTTGATATATCAGCTTGTCCTTGTGTTGAAGGAAATTCTTGGACATACCGAAGACGCTTTAACAGAGACCTTAAATCACTTTTACTTGGTCTCGGCTCATATCATATCCGATAAACCGCAAGGACGATGGAACGTTACAGAGGAAAAATTCACTTCTTTGTGTTATGCTGGACATTTGCCAGGCTATACCATGAGCTATAATCATCATGGTTTGGTCTTTTCCATAAATACATTATGTGCAAAAAACCTTATACCTGGGAAGACACGTAAGTAGTAATTAGGTGATAATGATAAGCAGGAGTTATGCAAAGAACATGACGGTAATCCCGAAACGTATTTATGTATTTTCTTGCCTTCGCTTGTCTGAAAGTCCCATACGTGATTTATATTGACCGATAAATATGTTTAAATTCATCAGGAAAACCACTAGCTGTGATTTATTCTGTTCTCGCATTTTAATATTAACAAATAGTTTAAGAATAAAACAAATAAATTTTGACAGCGTTTATACAATTTTAGCCCGACAGTTCATTACTAGAGCTCTACTAGCGGCTGAAAATTACACCCAAGCTATGCAAGTTTTGAAAGATGAGGGTTGTGGAGCTGCTGATGGGTGTTCCGTGAATATAACTTTTCTGGGTCAGGAAGGTGAGAGGATTTTTCATAACATAGAAATGGCTCCCACAGAAACTGCGAATGAGTCGGAATTGAGCGAAGTGACAGCGCGTCCGGGAGAGCATCTAATACACACCAATTCGTGAGTAATTATTAACTTATGGAATACATATACGTTATGTCAGTCATTGTTTACCGGATTTTCACATTACAATTATTCACTGATTAGGTAATGTTTTAGTTACCTGAGATTACCCATCAATACGGCGAACATTGAAATGCTGAGAAGTAGTGAAGAACGTATGATCACATTACAAAAATGTAAGGGTCCAAAGTGTGAAAACGACGTTATTAAGATGCTCGGGGACAACAGTAATAAAGAATATCCAGTGTTCAGAGATGCAGGTTTTGTGAGGACTATCGCAGTCGGTATGTACGTGAATTTATTAATTTATGACGTTTTTGATTTTGTTTTTTAGGTATTTTCGATATTGTGAATAGAACCTGGAGTTTGTATTCAGATAATCCGAAGAAAAATGAGGTGTTGGCAGTTTTACCGATCGTATTAAAAAATAAATAGTGGTTATTACTGTGAATCAGTAGTTGCTGCATATATGCATTTTTTGCTGTTATTAAATTTTAGATTACACGAACTCTATGTTTAAATAAAATGTTTACACTGTAAAACGTCTAATGATTAATACCATTTTATTTCCAAAACCTCATTAAACGAACAGCTACGAAGATTTGTTTAATTTCAATACCGATTTTCAGTTACAAGTTATTTAAAACAGTTCAGTTTAGTTCAGTTTTATAATAATAATGTGGTTAATACTGTCATGACAAGAAATTATAAAATCGATGAATTTAAAACTTGCAATAATTGTTATGTAAGGATAACACACCACAGTTATGTCTATTAAAAGGTTTTCTCAGAAAATGATAGCAACTCTTTGTGGTACGATGGGTATTCAGAAAAGACTAATAACAAGATTGATATTAGTATGACCTTGTGGGAAAATGTCACAATTCGACATTACTAGCAAATAGTGTTTTATGCGTATGCAAAAGTTTGCTTACCTGAATTTCTTACAGGTAAAATAATTTGAGAATAGCACGTCCATAAACATGTGTCGAAGACCGAGAAAAATAAGCTGTCCGGGATACGTTAACAGTATACATTTGCAGCATTTTTTTTTCTGCTCTGACTTGTTAGTGTTGGGTTTGTTTTTGTTTGATTTGTTGATAGGCTTGATATCACAAAAATCAGTTATTTGCAGAATGATAACTCATTTGCATATTGTTGTTTAAGGTAAAGTGAATATATTTACAAAATTAAAATGTGTTCTAAGGTAATTGTGGTTCGTGCGTTTTTTTAATATTTCAAAAGAATTTCTAACCATGTAGGTAGATAAAACTGTGCAAGAAGATAAGAAGACGATTTTTATATTTTGAAGAAGATAAGGACACTGGAGACAGACTATGGATATAGCGATATTGTATCTATACTATATTTTTTTTATAATTTAAAATATGCATTAATTTTTTATATTTAGTAGCTAAACTATACCGTCGTAAATATATATCACTGGACAAATAACATTAAAAATATGATCTAAAGTTATTTAGACAGAACGTTCCTCATTCCTGAAGTACAACCAAACAAATCCGGTAAAGATGTTACGCAATTTTGATTTATCTAAAAATCTGGATGTCTAAGGTCTTAACCGATTTATTCATAAAACACAAATGTAGGTTTATGAAATTAAAATAACATTTACTATGTAAAATTTTGAGGTGAGGTCATCAAATTGTTGGTGAGGATAATTACACAAATTTTGGTTAGCGTTTTGCCATTTACACGATATTTCTAAAACTCAATCTTCATTTAGTAGACCCTAAATAAACCGCAAGGTAAAAAATCAAGGTGGATTTATAAATCGAAGTATGTATGTTACTTTTTAAAATTTAAATATCATTTGCTATACAAAATTTTGAGATAACCTCATCAAATTGTTGGGGGAGATGATCAATCAATTTAGTTAGCGTTTCATCATCCACAATACATAATTTCACAACAATCAGTCCAGTAGTCTTGGGGATTATCTGTCTAATAAAATCGTTAACAGATAGATAAATAGGCTGGTACATTATTATTGTTAAAAATATTAACAAAAATCGAAATTTTTTTTCTGGGAATAATAACAATAATCATCTTAAATTGTTAAAACAACAAATAACCACTAACAGTGTGAATTAAATTTACGACTAGAAAATCCTGTCTGGTTAGCAAAAATGCAGTAACTCAGAATACGTACGTACGATTGTTAAGAAGATAATAATTATTGAATAATCAGATTATAACATCGGTAAACGAAGAAAGATAAGCAATCCGTATAGTTTAATTTAGAATAGCCGCCCGACAAGAAGAAGACGTGGTTTCAAATTCCGCTCCGGCTCCATTTTTCTTCAGTTACCAAAACTATGTTTGAAGACAGTGTACAAATAAAAAAGAAAATTTGTTTTATAATAATTGCTTCAAATTGTTCCAACAACTAATGTCCAATTCATTCATAAATCATACTGACAGAAAGCTACTTTAACAGCGCAGAAGGTACCATAGATCGAGAAATAAATTGGTCTAGTAATCTTTAAAATTTAATGTTACAAAAATTATAGTGACAACAATTATATCGTTTATGAGATACCTAGTTGAAAAAATAAATTCTTCACACATTTTTACTTCCCGAGCGTAATTGCCGAATTGCCACTTTCATATTTTCTCGACGTGTCATGAACTCTAGAGTACGAAAAAAATGGTCTCCCGTTTCCGTCTGTCTGTCTGGTGTCTGGTGTCTGTATTCTTTTTTATTAGACCGATTGTTGTCAAATTTTGTATGTCTATTAGGAATATCATGTACATGATTAAATACTAACTAAAATTTGGCTCACCACCAATAGGATGACGTCATCTCCAAAATTTATAATTTTTTTTTTATTTCATAAAATAAGATACTCCTGCACTTGTGGTGTGTGAATCCGTGTGGAATTTTCACCCTAGACAACCAAAGTTTTTGGAAAAAATTCAAAACTGAATAACAATTATCGTGATCAGGATAAATCGTTAAGCAAAATTTATTCGTTTATCCCTTCCCAAAAAATTGATGACGTCATTTCAAAATTTTTTACGAATAAATCCTGTCCAAAATGAGCAAAATATAATGAGTCTATACTTGTGACTGCATTAAAAATTTTTAAACTTCTTATACAGGGTGACTTATAAAAATTATTGAAAGAGTCAATTTATTTTATTGATTAAATCGGGAACGGCTCACTCCGTTTTCCCGAAAATTTGGGAAAACAATATTGTCATCAGTAGTATTACACTGCACCTATCCAAAGTGATATACGTGTCTCTGAAAAAATGTTGATCACATCACAAAATTTTGTTAAGGGAAAACTCAATTGAAACGTACGCCCAGCACGCTTCTTCACATTTACTTTCACGTTATATACATATCTTTATTTTAACTTATAAGAGTTCTCATAAAAAATAAATAAAATTCGCATAATCAAAATGTTATAATTTTTCGAAAGAGCTAGATTTGTTTTACTATACATATTTCAGGGGCGAGGGAAGTTCGAAGTAACTTTCGACCAATTTTTGTAACACTTTTGTGGGAACTCTAGATAATAAAAGTAATACTAAAATAACAACGACAATGCTGCATGTCAGAATGTTTTTTTTTTTACAAAAATAGTATTTTATCATTTTTTAGATGAAATTTCTTACGACAACTGCGAAGAAGACGATAATGTAATGTCTAAATAAGCTGATGTGAATTTTATGCTCCAAATATTGGTTTGTTTGATCACAATTTTCTTCGAATGCTAAGTATATATGCATTATTTATTGTATTTAAAATTGCGTATCTGTAAAGAATGTTGGTTTTTATTTGCATGTGGGTTTACAACTTAGTTCCGAGAACGAAAATAACTTCTGTATGGACCTGTGTTTAAACTCAAAAATCTAACTCAAAATAAGTAAATGGAACCAGACAATTAAGAAATAGAGCGTTTAGTTTCTTTTAGTAAAGTCTAATTTTTTTGTTCAAGTTTAAATAAAGTGCGATCAACAAAAAAAAAATCCCAGATTGGCGTCATTAGGGGCCGATTTTAGCTGTTTGCATGAAAGATTTAAAATTTGATAAAGTTTGTAAACGTCAGATTTTCGAAATATATAGAGTTGATCGATAAGTTAACATTTTTTTTGGACACATCTGTAAAAGTTTTTTTTTGAATTTTCATAATATCTCATTTGGCATTTAAATGAAGTAGACTTTTATGCAAAAGTTATTATTCTTCCAATTAATAAACCATTACTGATAAAAATAATTTATAAGGTAATAATACTAATAATACTCTGTAAAATCAAATTGTTTTTAAAGATTTAAGTGTATGCATGGAACAAATATAAAAAATATTTTTATTTATATTTTCAAATCGTTTAACACTATTCAGCAACTGTAATATATGTAGAACAAATAATGAATTTATTTGGTTATTTTGCTGTAGAAAAAATTATTAATACTTTTAAGACAAAACAGTGCGCAACTTAGTCATAATAGTTTATAATAATTTGTAACATAACAAGGTTGTTCCGTTGTTTTTGTCCAATATGTTATATAATACTTTTTAACAATAAAAAATGTTTTATAATGTTTGTTTTTGACTGTTCACACTTCATTTATTTAACCAACAAAAACAGTGGAGGAAAACGTATTCTACTTTCATTGTAAAAAATCAGTGACAATGGTTTTTGTAGCTTTATTATTATCGTTCACGTTTTAGCAATAATGTAAATATATAGTAGGTACTGCGGTTTTTGCATCGTCGTTGTAAAAAATAACTACCTACCTAGGTGTAATTAATATTTCCATTTATATTATATTATATTTTTCATACTGTTTCTAAGCATACATTCAAGAAAGAAGTTTTGAATCTTCTCCTTTTAAACGAATTTCATTTGTTCCTTCAGTCATTATAACTTTGTGTTAAAGTGGTTAGTTGTTCAATATAAAACTTCCGTGGGTTTTGGCGACTTACAGTAGTTATAAAGCATTTGTGTACAGCTTTGATGAAAAAAGTACTAACGGAAAATTAGGTACTTAAAATTAGTCAGATCAGTCGATAAATGTAAATCTCTGGATGCTTTAGAGTCTCTAAAAATATTTAAATGTAATCTAATAAGTGTGTTTAACGCTAATGCTGGTCGTCGTTATTCACTCTTCACTCTTGTGAGGTGATGGAAATGGAGGTGTACAGTAGCGAGTTTTAGATGTAGTTTTGTCTAGAGTGTGTTGACTCAGCCTACGAAATATATCTGCATTTTTTCAAGGATAGTTAAAGTAAATCATAATTTGGGTTGTAGAAGTCTAAAATATGCCAAAATAATTTGAAATTCTGTGGATTGTTCGCAATTTTGCAAATGTGTGTATATTTGGTTGCCTATATTCGACGCAACTAGTAGCCCGTGGGTACTAAATTAAAAAATGACCACTATTTTGAGGATTAACTTATCTAGTGGATGTACAGTTATGATTATAAAAACTAGTCAAATCTCGGTGGATGCAGCAGTCCTCTTGATCAGTTATTTCTATGAATAAATACACTGCAAGTAACACATCAACTTTTTATTTAAACATAAACTTTCATTTTTAAGGAAATTTAAACATGTGTATTTTCAACTAATATATATTTACTTGATTAAATCACATAATTTCACTCATGTACAAACGAAATCACATAAGTGAATATTAATAATTTCCCCATGTTGTAGATATTTAAATAAATCATATTAATAATTTTATCGTCCACAAGCGCCCCCTGGACATCCTCCTATTGTGGGTGGATTGATATCTTTCATGGTCATTATTCGCTTTGATGGGCCTCCACCACCAGGTCTACCAACATATGTTGAAGTATGCAACACAGTGTAAACAGCAGTCAATACATACCTAAATGGACCGCCACCGCCGCCTCCGCCACCGCCTCCGCCACCACCTCCTCCACTGCCTCTATATGACGAACCACTAGATCTTGAACTTCCGTAGCTTGTTGCAGAACTGCTATCTAAACCAACCAAGCTCTTGAAACTAAAAAACACAACAGCGATGCTTTTCATTGCAAAACTACCACCATCAAACTTACAAGAACACAACAAAGAAAATCGCACCGTAGAAGATTTTACTTAAGCGATCCAAATTCCAAGGAGGGCTCTGGTGAATGGTTCCATCTAAGTAGAACGTGTCAGTTTACATTAAATAAAACTTGTATTTAGCTTACCCCCAGCAACATACACCATCTTGGAAATCTTATGTTATATTCGAGCAATTATAATGTGATGAACAGTTCTGTTTTTCTAGAATAATACAGGAAACGTCAGTGGCAATGTTACTTCACTTAAATTTGACGTGTTATTATCTCATATGTCACAACAATTTTCGCTAAACGTCAACAAAGTCATTTAAAACGTCTACAGATATAAAAATAGTAGAGAACTCGCAGTGTGTTATAGATTTTTTTATATTTTTCAGAATAAATCATGGAATAAATACACTTTTAAACAACAGATCATGTGGAAATCATCATTTTTAACATGAACGTAAATTGTAACTAAATATTATATACAATATTTAATTGTTGTTGCTACTGTTCTCTCTGATTTTGTTACTTTAGTGATTTTTAGTAATATGTTTGAGGCTCTCTTATGCAACTAGATAAACAGAAGAGTTTTACTGGTTTCTATTATTGGCTACAGATTTTAGCGGTAAATTTAATTTTACGTCAATTGCAAAATGACAATTTAACCTATTTCTGTGCAGATGTATTTCTGAACAAATATTACCCTATTGTGTCAAAAAATTAACCAGTTTATGTACAGTTTGGAGCTTCTGTAACATTTTGATTACTACATGGCTCAGAAGAAACCTTGGAGGAAAATTTTATATGAAAATCAACCCTACCCAGACAACTACACAGACGAAAGTTTTCTTCGGGATCTCAGGACTAATATTAAACCTGTATCCTTACAAGAAGCCCTCTGGGGAGCCACTTTACTTTTAGAAGAATTTTGCACAGTAATTGCATTTGTACTAGTTTATGTATATTTATTTAATGAGTGGATTAATCCTGATTCAATTTTCACTTGTTCATCCATACTGACTGTGATTGGTTTTATTTTGTACAGATTTATTTATACCGGAGATGTGCATATTCAGTTTGGGCACGACCTACGAACACTATTAATTTTTATGGTGTTCGGCCACTTGTTTTCACCAGTGTTACATACATTAACGGACACAATAAGCACTGACACAATTTATACAATGACTTTCTTTATGATGGTTGTACATTTAATATTTTTTGATTACGGTGTTAGTGCTGCTATAGTGTCCAATAGTTTGTCTCTTAGTGCGGCAATTTTTGCCTCAATTTGTTTAGCGTCACGATTGGCCTCAGCATATCATGCTTTTATTTTGATTACTGTTGCCATTGAGCTTTTTGTATTGTTTCCCTTATTCCGAAACAAAATTAATAAAAAGTCACTTTATGTTATAGGGCTTCTGTTTGTCTTTGATGTATTTTTTTTAGTACAAAGTTCAAGTTTGTTCACGTTGCTTTTTATTTTAACAGCGCTTTTTATAAATGTGGGGTGTCCAGTAATGTTTGTACGGTATCAGAAATACAAATCAAATATATATGGACCATGGGATGAGGCGATTGTCGATGATGCTGATGATGTAGTGAATGGACTAGTAAATGATGATGTGTCGGCTGACTCTAGCTGAAGTTAAATTTGTTTCTGTTATGTTAATACACAAAGTTTGTAATTTTTGTAATAACTGTAAACAATAGGAAATAAAAAATGTTTTGAATTTATATATTTTTAATGTCCAAAAAATTAAAAGTACAATTACTTAGCATGAGCTTGTGCTTTACGCATTTGTGTAAGAATGTTGGACAATTCTTCACGCTTCCTCTTAGCACGAATGTGTGTGCCAAGGCGACGTTTCAGGAACTTGAGAGCCCTCTTATCCTTCGAGACTTTCAACAATTCCATCGCACGTTTTTCATACGGAGCATGCCCTACGACTTCACGTATGAGATCGCGAACAAATTTTGTATGTTTTGTTTGGATCCCCTTCAACCTTGCAGGACGGATCTTGTCTGCTGTTTTTCCGGACGCGATTTTGGTCGTTTTATGGCCTCTTTGTAGACCAACAGCGATTTCATACCTAGGTGCCATTCTGAAAATAAAACTTCATGTATTATTATGTTACAAATAAAGCAACAGTCATGTTTTGCAGTATTTTAAACAATTTGGTATTTAATAATCGCAACTTACATGTTTTATTGGAAATTATACACCAATAAACTCGTGTACACCTTTTGACATATGACAACAGAAAGAAAGATGGTGGCGGCGGATTTCCGTTATCGATTGTACTGAAACAGGCTGGCCAATGTTAATGGTAGCATTTTTTAAACTATTTTATTAATAATTTATATATTTCATTGAAAATACACAAAAATGCAACCAGTTATTAAAAATAACCTTCAATGTGTTAGTTTTTAACAGTAAAAGAGAAAATTGCTCAAGGTCGTTTTCGTTATAAAAACAAAAATCACTAGATTTCCCCCACATCATTAAAGTCAATTATGTCATTATGTAGCATTTAAAAATAAGCGGCTGTTGTTAACAATTATTGGTTTTAGAGCGGTCTAGTACAAAAGATAGTGAGATAAACGGTTGGTTTTTAATATTGATTTATCATTTTGTGTACGTGATTGTGGTTAAATGTCTGTGTCATTTGTTCACTGAATTTTTTTTTAGAATTGTTAACTCTTTAAGTACCATTATGAAATTACTGTTGTTACTTATAACTGCTTCCTTTTTGCTTAATGAGGTGCATCCATGGAGAATTTTTCGAAATGGTCGTATGGTAGGTGGGAATGTGGGTATACCAAAACCAGACAAACGTAGAGAAAGTGTGAGAGATATTCCAGAACAATGGTTTACACAAAGTCTGGATCATTTTAATCCTACTGACGAAAGAACTTGGCAACAAGTACGTAATTGTTTTGATCTTAACTATTCACTATGTTTTCTACGTTTCTTTTAATAGAGATACTTCAGTAATGACCAATATTTTGACTCCACGGCTGGAGGGCCAGTATTTATAATGATCGGGGGTGAAGGAGAGGCATCTGTGAGCTGGATGACTCGAGGAAGTTGGATAGACGACGCTGAAAAACATGGTGCTCTTTTGTTCCAGTTGGAACATAGATATTATGGAAAAAGTCACCCCACTGAGTAAGTATATTTTTGTGGATTTTGATTTAGGGAATTTATTTTTCCTCACAGTAAAATTATTTTGAAGAATCAATAAATACAAGCCTATGTTTTTCCTTAATGATAATTGATTATATTTACTTACTGTTGATAAAAGAACATTAAACATAAATGGTTTATTGACCTTTAGCAGTATATTTAATATAATCATTAAAATATTGCATCAGAAATATAACAATGCATGATCTTGAAGACTAAAGATATATAAATATCTGAAAACAATAGAATAAGATTTGATACAATGAAGATATGTAAAAATTTTGGATGGTACTCATGCAGTATCTGATGACAGAACAGACAACAGTGTTAAAAATATATGTACTTAGATTTAATGTGAAATTTTGTTTGATTGTAGCGAAATTAAGTTTAGGATTCAATATTATCACTGTACGATTTTTGTATGTTTTGCGGTTTCCTAGGAAGGCATATCTATGTTTATTCACGTGTTATCGGTCTCAGTATTTGCCTATTCTATTATTTGTTTATTATTTTGCCTAAGTGGTGCGGTCTTTGCCACTGCGTCAGTTGAAAATTTTTGTTTTACGTTATGGTTATGGATAACGCTCTACAGTTAAAATATTGTTACTTCAAATGAATAAAAGAATTTAAATGAAGCACTTGGTACGCCATGGAATGATCTATATGTTGTGGATTTATATGTCTATTACTAGAATAATAGAAAGTATTAAAAAACATTAAAGTTTTAATAAAAATCTGGTTACAGATTGAAACCTGTTGAAACTTTACATGTTGGTATTCTGAAAAATATAAAAAATTGGACGGAACAAATATAATGTATAATTACTAACGGTATTTTAATTTTACGAATAAAATTTAATAAGTCATTAGTACTGTTTGGCAGTGCCACTACAGAAATAAATTTTATACCATTTGTGGACAAACAACAAACGACTGCAAGTTTTTAGATTGAAACTTGTATCGTTCAAAAATCTATTACGGTACATCAGTTTTTACATTAGAAGTCAACGGCATTTGAGTTCAGTGGACCCAAAAATTAAAAATTTTCAGTAAAATGTTAATAGTTTTGCAGACAGGTTTAAAGTTGCAGGTCAACAAACTGCTAACGTTTGCTATAACATGTGTAGGTACTCTCCGCTATCATATATATTTTTGTTTGTTTTTCAACTTGTTTTCGTTGTTTAAATTAAGTAAAATAAAGTTACATTTTGTGTTTTTTTTTCTTCTTGAATTTAACAAAATAAATTTAAAAACGTCCAATGATTGCTTAAATAAATCAAGCAGTTTTTAACTTATGCTATTCATTTTGAGCCCTTATTTACAACTTATGGATGAAATTTATGAATTTATGATTCATAGGCATCTCTAATCATTTACTAAGGAGTGTTATGTAGTTTCTAGTATGCAGAATAAATGATTTTTGAACAAAGGTAGGTAATTGGAAATTTTTATAAAACTTTTTTGTGGTTGTGAGAGGCGATAATCATGATAGTATAGTGGTCAGTATACCCGCCCGGCATGAGCTAGATGTGTCTATAAATAATTTATACATCCAGCACTCGTTGGAAAATTTTAATTACATATTTTAGATTAAAGAATTTTGCCGCTTGTGAGAAAATATGTAATATGGTCCTATAAACAATTTTAATTTTACAATTACAATTTAAATTAGTTATAAAAAATGTTGGGCGTTATGATAGCTTTTAATTTTCGTGAATTTTGCCGTCTCGTTGTGCTAAAGACACAAACACAATGCAGGAAATAAGGAATAAGAAATACTACTTGTTTTTTTTTTATAGAGATATGAGCACTGAAAACTTAAGGTATTTAACCAGCCAGCAAGCTCTAGCAGATTTGGCCACATTCATCACAGCAATGAACAAAAACTACAGTCTTCCAGCCGACGTAAAATGGATTGCGTTTGGGGGTTCATATCCAGGTTCCCTAGCGGCGTGGTTGCGTTTTAAGTACCCTCATTTGGTCCACGGGGCCATGTCCGCAAGTGGTCCTCTTTTAGCAGAAGTCGATTTTTTGAGTACTTTAGTCGTTTTATGTTAATCCAGATCTAATGAAGTTTTTTCAGATTATTTTAAAGTTGTTAGTGAATCTTTGGCCACTTATAGCGACGATTGTGTCACAGCTGTACAACAAGGTGTTGACCAAATCGGTACTCTTTTGAAACAAGAAATCGGCCAGGAAAATTTGAACGAAATGTTTAATCTATGCAACCCAATTCAAGAATCTTTGGAAAATCCGTCAGACATATCAAATTTGTACGAAACTATCGCCGACAATTTTGCGGGGGTTGTCCAATATAATAAAGATAAGAGGATGAATAATCGGGCGGCTGCTAATATAACAATAGATGTAGTTTGCGAAATTATGGTGAATCAAACAATTGGACCTCCTGTTAATCGTCTTGGAAAAGTAAACGAATTGTTGCTTAGTACTTACGATGAAAAATGCTTGGATTATCAGTACGATAAAATGATCGATTCTTTGAGGAATGTCAGTTGGGACAGTGAGGCGGCGGAGGGCGGACGTCAATGGACGTATCAAACGTGTACAGAATTCGGTTTTTATCAGACGTCGTCATATGAGCCCCATATATTTGGGGATCAATTCCCTATCAGTTTCTTTATCCAGCAGTGTGAGGATATTTATGGTGATATTTATGATGCGGATTTTATTGATGGGGCTATCGATCGTACGAATACTCTTTACGGAGGTCTTGACATTGAAGTAAGCAACGTTGTATATGTGCATGGATCTATAGATCCGTGGCATGCCTTGGGAATAATTAAAACCGTGGACGAAAGTGCACCAGCGATTTACATTGAGGGTGAGCGAGCTAATATTGTTATTTTGTTTAGTATATTACTTAACGTGGGGTTGCAGGAACTGCCCATTGTGCCAACATGTATCCTCCAGCTGATACAGATCTGCCTGAGTTAACTGCTGCGCGCCAGCAAGTTTCAGAACTGATTGACTCTTGGCTAAAGAATTAAACGATCGGAGTGATAGTTCCGATTTTTATTATATACAATGCGATTCAATTGATATATATTTTGTTTATATATTTACAATAATTGTTTTTCCAACGTCGTCCACTTTTGGTCCTATTGACACAAAAAAATAAATGTTAGGTACATAATTTTTTTATTATTTAAAGTACTGAATTAAATAAGCAATATAGCGCCCTAATTATAATAGAAAATAAAAGTGCCTTGGCCTTTTTAGTTTAGTAAATTTTAGAATGTCGTCGGTGTTTGTGGAGTATGAACTTCTCTTGTAAAGAAAACTAACATCGATTGAATATATTTATAATAGCAAAAAGCCTTTGGATGGACCATGCCACTCTATAACTTTCACGCAAGATCGTTAAATTTATTTAGATGACGTGTAAAATTTTGTTGTACAATTTTGAATTTATTTGGAAAAAGCTGCAGCGGTTCCGTATGTACAAAACGAATATAATTTGTGATGAACGGAAATTAAGTGAAAAAAAGTGGACTGAAAAAGCAAAACCTGAAATTATGGGAATTGGGGGAAATATTAATGCGTTGATCTTGTATTATCTTATCATTTTCAACTGCATTATTGGTTGCATATACAATTTTAATTTTCTGTTATAAAATTTAAATTGTATTACAAATAAAATCCTCTAATGGAAAACTCTCACACTGGAAACACATAACTATGTATTTCTTATGCATATCTATACAGGGTTATTATCATCGTAGGTAAACAACACCGGAAAGCGGCAAATAGACAGACCGAGATTTTTTTTAAGCCACCTACAATGTAAGAAACATTTAATCCTATTAACTATATATGTACTATACTTAGCGTGTAGCTCAGAGTGTGTGTAGTGTATAACGGTTGTTCAATTGAAAAAGGTATCAAGGTGACGTTATTTTTTTGATAGAAGAAAACTTAGCGAAAAACGCATGTGTTTAATTATTATTAATCCATTGTTGTGTATAATTGACATTTTCCCATTGCCAGCTGTTATCGATTAAATTTTAGGTTTATTGTTATCATAACTCAAATATCCCGCCAAAAATTGACATGTAAACAAAATTGCAATCCGCGAAACATTTAAAAATTTGGTTTTGAACTATGATCGTCAACGTAAGTGGAACCCTACGTTATGTGTATGTTTCTTTTTTTTGGTGGAATGCTTTCTGATGCAAAGTGATGAACCCCAAGGTTGGAAAAGCGCCCCAAAATAAAACACAAAATATATGGAGGACACAAAAAGCGTGTATTCTTCCATCCTGACAAAAAATGTGATGCAAGAATGTCTTCTTGTACCATGCCACCATGCGACTAATAAGTTGGACAGGTTGAAGATCCCTTAGTTCTCAGCTACAAAAAAACTTGTCTAGTTTTCGAAATGAACTCAAATCAAACGTTCAGAATTAGAGCTTATTTGAAATCAGAAGTACATCGAGCGGGAGGGATGAATGCACGAAGCGCGAAAATGGGCGAAGAGTATGGACGACTCAGTGGCGGACCATTAGTGTTGTTATTGGGGTTTACACGTTGCACGCGTTAGTATAAGAACGTACAAAACAGGTCCAAAGAGTAAAGGAAGTTCGTTCTCGACGCCGCTGATTCTGAGAAAGTAGTGCTCATGCGTACTGAATGGTGTTTCAAATACTGGTATCTGCGCTCTTTTATTGCTGTGTACTTCTGCTTTCAAATAAGCTCTAATACAAACATTTGAATATCACAAATAGTAAAAAAAAAAAACAAAAAAAAAAGAGAAATCGGAATAAAGTAACTGGATGCAAATAGATGGCGAGAGCCTTGAAAGCGCGGTGGTAAATCCACGGCGGGAAATAGAAAACAATCCAGAGGCGTAGTAAAACGGCCATTGTCTTCGGCGTGAACCGTAACATGACTACGCCACTGAATTGTAGAGCTTCTCGACTATGACCGAAGACGAGTTCGGAATGCGCCGGGACTCGCCATCTAAGAACGGTTGAACCTTGGGTTGAACGTGTTCTGTGGGTTGAACCATAGATATCTGTGGTGGAAATACTATAGCAGTCTCAAGTGAGAAATTAAGGAGTGTTATAATGTAACACATAAATAAAAGCCTTTTATAATTGATTACTCCAAAGGAGGTGTTTCTTTAAATTTGGTTACTAGTTGCCAATCTATTTGTGTGGTAATAAATTATGTCAAGTTTGGGTCTTAAAATTATCTGTTTCCCAACAAATTAGTTATTAATTCACTTGACTTTTTTATTAGTAAAGTGTACTTTCATTGAAATTAACGAAATTAAACTACATATAAAAATATATAGTCTTGGCAAGTAGAAGCGGCAGACCTAACTTTTACGGCCGCAATAGGATTACCACACTATAAAAATAGCCTGCTGCCAAATAATGTTTATTACCATTCTAATTATGGATAATCATCTGCATAAGAGCGAGATGAAGATGAGTCAAGACAAGTGGCATTGAAAATCGAACCATAAACCAGGTAGAAAAGATTACTCGTCTTTGGAGAATTGTTTTATTAATTTTTGTGTATAATTATCAATTTAAATTATTTGTTCCTTATGAAAAACAATGAATGAATGGCTAATAATATTTACTGGTTTTTTAAAATTATTAAATATTTGTGCAACCAATGATCTTTTGGATATTTCTGCAATATTCGGAGAAAAGTGGAAAGTAAAAAATAAACTACATTGTCACACTCTTTTGCGATTTTCTCCATCACTGTGTTCTAAATTCGATTGAACCACTGTAGTGTCAGTTGGAATACTGCACTGGGTACGTAAGTCCAACATTAGGTATATCTTTACAAAGGAAATAATTAAAAAAAAAAAACGAGAAAATTGATTGTATACTTTGGAGTAACTGCATCAAACATGTTATTGAGGTTGAAGACAGTTTCTTAATCAATAGACCTTTCGCAGAAATAATCGTTGATGTAAATAATCAGTTCACATATAGCGATGTTGAAACTTTTTTACTTTTTCATTTATGTTTACCTCGCTCCTGTGTAGATATTTATTCATGATCAGAAGAGTTATAAACATTATTTGACAAAAGTTCATATTTTTATGGTAATTGTATTAAAGTCACCTTCTCGTAAGGCCACCTACCGCGTCACGTAGTTGAAGAACCATGGCTTCGAGATTCCCCCACCTTAAACTCAGCTGTCCGATGGCGTGTAATTTATCTCTGGCCCAGCTAATTATGCGTGCGTGCAATATTCTGCCCTCGTACTGCCGCGCTATCAATCGATGATATGTACTTAAATAAAATTATAGTTTTTATTATAATGATAACTTTGATTTCCAAGGTGATGACGATTGTTCTGACTGATTTTAACATCTCCAAATTCCAAAAATTATTAATTATCGCTCGTTATAAGTTTAATCGAAACTTTGAACTGTCTCATATAAACTTTGATTGTAATTTTGGTATTTTTTCCATTAAATACACTGTATTCACAACGAGTTGACTAGAATAGGGACTATTAAGAATTATTATGATTGTAACTTTCGGAAAAAGGACCACTCAGATTGTCTCATGTTCCCTACACAAATAAAGCAAAATTTAATTTTTTTTCGAAGAATCTGTATTTCCTTCCTATTTCTTACTTTTTGTAAATGGATATGAAAATAGTGTATGATATGATATAAGTACAGAAATCTGATAAATATAATACATAAATAATAACAAAACTAAACTGGAAAGTCGTAATCTTTTAAATTTGTTTACATTGTGAAAAGACCAGTGCTGTATTACCAACCGTCGTTAAAAACAATTAATAAACAAAAGGTCGATTGCATTTTGCATCCAGATACACACACCCAAACAAATCTGATAATGTTTGTAAAATTTTAATCCATTGTTAAATTACTACACTTATTCGTTTTCCCGGCGCATCCGCCAAACACAGTTTTTAAAAACGCTATCCGTTTTAGGATACTAAACTAAATAAAATATTTGACTTAAACAGTGAATGATCAATTTTAAACTATATATAGTACCAACTACTGTCAATCGCAGATAAAACCAATTAAAATTTCTAGTACAGGGTGTTTTACGTGTAATAATGAGCTGACGAATTTTATTAATGCAGGGAACAGAACACATTTCGCTGCTAATGAGGTATGTTTAAACATTCAATCATAAAAGTACCACGACTTCGTCTTTAAAATATTTGTCATGTATTCTGAGATGAAAAATATGAGATCGCGAACAAATTTTGTATGTTTCATCTGAATCTTCTTCATCTTGCAGGATTTGTCTGCTTTGTTTTTTTTTTTAATGGGACTTTCGTTGTTTTCCGACCTCTTTGTAGATCTATACCCATTTCATACAAAAAAAAAATACACGTATTATTATGTCACAGAGATAACAGCAATTACGTTTAGCAGTATTTCAAACAATATGTTATATAAAATAAGTAACCGGTAATTTACACGTTATATTAGAAATTATAATATATCAGAAAACTCGTGTACACCTCTTTGACATATGAGAACAAAAAAAAAGATGGCAACGATGGATTTCCGTCACCGATTAAATAGATACAGGGTCGCCAACGGGTCAACGTTATTTTGTAGCATTTTTTGAACTGTTTTATTAATTTATCTATTACATCACTATACACAAAAGTGCAGCCAGTCGTTAAAAATAACCTTCAATTATTCCAGTTTTTAAGAGAAAAAAAAATTGCTCAAGGTCATTTTTTTATAAAAGCAGAAGTCACTGAATTTCCCACACATCGTTGAAGTCAATTATGTGTCATTAACTCATTTTATGTAGCATTTTTAAAAATAAGCGGTTGTTGTTAACACGTGTTGATTTTAGAGCGGTCTAATATAAAACATTTAGATAAATGATTAATTTGTGTAGGTGATTGTGGTTAAAAAAATACTGCGTCTTCATTTGCTCATTGAAATAATTTTTTTGTGGAATTTTTAAATCTCTACATTTCATTATGAAATTGCTTGTGTTACTTATGACTGCTTCCTTTGTTCTTGTTGAGGTAAATTTATCGGAAATTTTTCGAAATGGTCGTACATTAGGTGGGAATGTGGGTGTACCAAAACCAGACAAACACAGAGAAAATGTGGCAGATGTTCCAGACGAATGGTTTACCCAAAAACTGGATCATTTTAATCCTACCGATGAAAGAACTTGGCAGCAAGTACGTAATTGTTTTGATCTTAACCACGGCTGTAAAATATAAGGTAGAGTAAGTATATATTTAAATATGTCTTTTATTCATTCACGCTCCAGTTGGTGAAATAATATACCTCAGTACCAGTTGGCCATGACGCGAGTTATAAGTCACAATGTGTGTTCGCGTGTTCACGGTTGGTAGGACTGAAAGAATTATTTGAATAGGGTTGCCTCAAATTCATTTAAAGCAACCGAGTAGCATTATTCGTCCGGAAAAAAACTGTTTCCGGCCTAGTCGTAGAAAATGACACCTAACAATTTAAATTTTTTTCGATTATGGTAGTAAAAAAATTTAACGCGTAATAGATTCTATATTCTACAACCCTGATCTTATCTATTCACTAGATTATCTATGCTTCTTATTTCTAGAGATACTTATTTAATGACCAATATTTTGACCCTAACACTGGAGGGCCAGTATTTTTAATGATTGGGGGTGAAGGAGAGGCACCTGTGGAATGGATGACTGGAGGAAGTTGGGTAGACGATGCTGAAAAACATGGTGCTCTTTTGTTACAATTGGAACACAGATATTATGGAAAAAGTCATCCCACTGAGTAAGTCCATTTTGCGCATGTTTGATTTTTTTTGCCTAAATTGTTTACAGCAAAACTATTTTAACAAATCAATAAATTATAACTTTATGTTGTCAGATTCATTCTGAACAATTTTTAAGTTTTTTTAGTCCTTAACATGTCATAATATAATATAATATAATATAATATAATTTATTTGTGTTAGGAATACATAGTATTTTACACACGTCAAAATGATAACAAATACATCAAATGAAATCATCAAAATTATTATTCAAAAATTCTTCAGTCGAGTAAAAAGATTTCGAAATGCAATACTCTTTTAATTTGTGCACTAAGATTTTTGCATCCAGTTGTTTAATTCTGTATGGAAGAACATTAAAAAACTTGATGCCGTAGTAATTATTTCCGTGTCTTGATCTGTTTAACCTTAAAATATTGTGACTAATCTCACAACTTCTTGTGGAGTAACAGTGATAAGAACTGAGCGTGCGATACTGAGCTTTATTTTTCGTGATATACTCTACACATTTACACACATATAAACAAGGAAATGTTAATATCTTTAATCGGTTAAAATGTGGTTTACAGTCATCTCTATAATTGATGTTTGCAATAATTCTTAAGATTCTGCGTTGCAACTTAAATAATCGTACTGTTTGAGGAGCATGTCCCCACACATGATGCAGTATGCAAGATGTGATTCTATCAAAGCATAATAAGCGGTTTTAAGGGTACTTTCTGTCACATTATTCGCTAAATTTCTAAATAAATACGTATTCCTGCATAATTGTTCAGCTATGTTATTAATATGGTTATGCCAATTAAGAGTGGTGTCAACATAAATTCCCAAGAATTTCGTTGTTTCAGAAAAACCATTAATACTATTATTATTAAACAATTTTAGAGTAAAAATTATTTTCACTAGTTTGCTTTTATTTGAATGCAATTTATTGGCTAATAGCCAATTTTCGATTTCACAATGATATTTATTCGTATGTAAATTGTTTATGTTAGCAATTGAATAGCCAACCGTTATATCATCAGCATATAAGACCATATCCGCCTGCGGCACAAGAGAAGGTAGATCATTTATATAGATCAGAAACAGAAGTGGTCCCAAAATTGAGCCTTGCGGCACACCATGAAGAATCATGCGCTCATCAGATAATGTATTATTTATTAGGACTTTCTGAGTACGATTATTTAAGTAAGATTTTATCATTAATATACTATTTGTACTGAATTGATAATACTTTAGCTTTTTTAAGAGAATTTCATAAGAAATGGTATCAAACGCCTTGCCCATGTCAATAAATAGGGCCTTGTAATAGTTACAATTTTCGAAAGAATCAATAATCTTATCAATAAATGCGAGAATAGCATCCTGAGTGGATCTTCCCTTCCTAAATCCAAATTGTTTATTAGTTAATAGCTTATGAGATTCTAAAAATTCTAACATTTGCAAAAATAAAAGTCTTTCAAAAATTTTTGACATAATGGGTAGCAATGCAATTGGTCGAAAGCTATTGTTATCAAAACAGTCACCTTTTTTATATATTGGTATAACAATTGAGTTTTTTAGGCATTTAGGAAAAGTATTTGTCTCTAGACAATAATTGAATAATTTAGTAAACGGGGATATTAAAATGTCTTTTACAGATTTGATGATCTCCCCACTTAACCCATAAATATCTTTGCTTTTCGAATTTCTTAACTTATTGAACGAGTCTCTGACATCATTTTGAGTCACTTTATGAAATACGAATTTATTATCTACAGATAGAGTTGGTGCGCCATTTTTGAATCATCCTGTATAATATAACAGTCAACCACTTTTGACATGATAATTATAAAAAAAAAATACAAAAATTCTTATTCCAAACATGTAAAAAAACTGAAAGATTTTTTTTGCAGAGATATGAGTACCGAAAACTTAAAGTACTTAACCAGCCAGCAAGCGTTAGCAGATTTGGCAACATTCATCACAGCAATGAACAAAAACTACAGTCTTCCATCAGACGTAAAATGGATTGCATTTGGGGGCTCATATCCAGGTTCTCTAGCAGCTTGGTTGCGTTTCAAGTACCCTCATTTGGTCCACGGCGCCGTATCCTCAAGTAGCCCTCTTTTAGCGAAAGTCGATTTTTCGAGTAAGTACTTCACTTGTTTTACGTTATTCCAGATCTAATAGGGTTTCTTTCCAGATTATTTTAAAGTTGTTAGGGAATCTTTGGCCGCCTATAGCGACGATTGTGTCGCAGCTGTACAACAAGGTGTTCGCGAAATCGGTACCCTGTTGAAAGACGAAGGCGGCCGGAAAAATTTGAACAAAATATTTAATCTGTGCACCCCAATTCAAGAATCTTTGGAAAAACCGTTAGACATATCAAACTTTTACGAAATGATAGCCGACAATTTCGGTGAAGTTGTCCAAGAAAATGGAGCTAACAGGAATAGTAGTCAGGCAAATGCTAACATAACCATCGATGCGGTTTGCGAAATTCTGGTGAATCAAACAATCGGATCTCATGTTAATCGTCTTGGAAAAGTAAATGATTTGTTACTTATCACTCGCGATGAAAAATGCATGGATTATCAGTACGAAAAAATGATTGATTCTCTCAGGAATGTCAGTTGGGACAGTGAAGAGGATGAGGGCGACCGTCAGTGGATGTATCAGTTATGTACAGAATTCGGTTTTTTTACGACGTCGTCAAATGAGTCTCACATATTTGGGGATAAATTTCCTACAAGTTTCTTTATCCAGCAGTGTAAAGATATTTTTGGTGATAGTTATGATGAAGATTTTATTGATGGGGCTGTTGATCACACCAACATGCTGTATGGAGGTTTTGACATTGAAGTAAGCAACGTTGTGTATGTGTATGGATCTATAGATCCTTGGCATGCATTGGGAATAACAAAAACTCTGGATAAAAAAGCACCAGCTATTTATATTGAGGGTGAGTGAGCTAATGATAGTGGAATTTTATTTATAATAAGTATGTTACTTAATGTGGGGTTGTAGGAACTGCCCATTGTGTCGATTTGTATTCTCCAGCTGATACAGATTCGGCACAGTTAACTGCTGCGCGCCAGAAAGTTTCGCAACTGATTGAGTCTTGGTTGAAGCTTTAGATAAAAGATTAAATTACCTTAAGGATATCAGCGTAATTTTTTTTGAAAGGTCTGAAAATGTGTGAGACTTCAATGTTGGATTAAGGTTTAAACGATCTGTAATTTTTCAGTTATAGATCGGAAATACAGAGTTATGACAAAGTAATGCACAAAATTCACAAAAAAAACAACATTTGTTTCTGAAATAGATACAAAAACATATCAAGTTTTTTATTTTACTCTCACTTTTTTGACATATGTCCAAAAATTTTACGTCAAATTTGTAAAAGTTATGACGTTATCAATGACTTTTTTTAAATAGGAAGGTATAATTCGCTTTCAACTCGTCTAAATTATAGGATCTCTTCATGTAAACACGTCGTTTTAAATGTCGTCTTAAAAAAAATCAAGGGGTGTCAGATCCGGAGACCTAGGTGGCCATTTTATTGGTCCACGCCTCCCTATTGACCTTCCATCAAATTGATTGTCCAAAAAAACCCTTACATTTACGCCATAATGTGGTGGTGCCCCATCCTGTTGAAACCAACTCCTGCGATATAAATCTTGTGGATTATCTGGATCAGGAAACGTAGCGATTAGAATTATTTTCCCACGTTGTAAACTTCTTGTTTTAGTGACACTAAAAAATAAAAGTTAATGAAACTCGCTAGAGGAGGTATAAAATAATATTTTCCTTTTTTCTAGGGTAAAATGCTATTAATAAGATGCAAGATGTACTGCAACTTTTTTTCATGGTTATAATAAATGTAACAGAAAAATACGTAAGAAATGCATCATTGTCTTCTGTTTTTTCGTCTTTTATGTGTGTTAAACATTATAGAATCGATTGAAGATTCCCACACTGACAAAATAACGTATTTTAAAAACCTCTGTCATATTAAATTTTTTGTTAGTAGTACAATTTATTGAAATAAAAATGTTTTTATTAAAATCAAAATATACTATGAATTACAAACAGTATTAGTGGAAAATTAGTGACACAATCCTTAGCAGAGTTTTTAACAAAAACGAACAATTATTGAAAAAAAAAATTGGTTTGAATTCAACACGGTTTGAGTGGTTAGTTCAGGACCTTACCACTAGGAGCGTCATCATATTTAAATTTACGGGCTGAACAGTCGGGCAAAAATCTTGCCGAGAAGGCCGACAGCTTACCCTAAGGTACTAAGTGTCAGCGTTTTCGGTTGTTTTTTCTAACTAATCGCTACCAACTCATTTTTATACAAGCTGTCCGAAAGAGTGTGTCGATTATTATGTCAGAAATTGATAGATTTGGAGCTTTATAATTGTTAATATTCTAGTCAATGGTAGATTAAGAATGCATGTACTATTTGAATATTACTACAAACTTATTGTAATATTTATAAAGTATATTAATTTTGCGTTGTTAGTAATAAAATTGCATAGCCGTTGTTTAAGTATCAGCAGGTAAGATTAGATTACTATTGATCCCAGACAGAAAGTTTTTATGAAATTAATTTATTTTTTTACGAAGACTGTCGAAAAAACAAGTTAGTTTATTTTATAGACCAACAGGATTTTTTATTATCAAAATTTTGATTAACCATTTAGCATGTTTTTGGTTGCATTAAAACGTTTATAAGATTCCAGAGCATTCGGTTTTGTAGTTTGCAGTTAAATCGTAAAATGTTGCCATATGCAAAACTCACTTGACATACACCTTGTAAATCTTTTATGACTTAAGCCAAACCACCCTTATAAGTCAAATTGGCTATTGTATAACGTAACTTAGTTCACATATACCTAGTAAAACTTTACAGGCCCATTATGGCAACAATGGACAGTTACGGTTCGGGTACATAAAGCTTACAATAGCCAGTTTGACTTATAAGGGTGGTGTGGCCTAAGGTGCTTAAGTCATAAAAGTTTTACAAGGTCAAGTGAGTTTTGTATAGTTTTGATTTGTTTTCCAAAGGTATGGATGTTAAGGATAAAAACTGAAGACGAACTTATAAAAGACAACTGCAGGAGTATTGACGACGAAAGATATTTGCAAATGACTCCAATTATGGGAATTGCAGCTGTAAAATTTCCGGCCACTTCGGAAAGTGCACCCAGCATAAACTGTCAATCAAGATTACTCGCCACCCTTACCTTTCCAGGACCGTATTTGTTTCAATACGTGAACAGGTATATTGTTAGGAATTTAATCTTAAAATTTAAGGACACATGAAAGTGTTGTTCTTAAAACTTTTAAATCTTTGTCAATACATATTTCCTAGAAAAATCCTAATAAAAATTAACTCTACCATGATTCATATATGAACGCTCCAAAATTTGAAGTCCGGCTCTGGCTGAAGCCGTACCTCGGGTGCGAAGGGTTCGTAATGGTTTTATTATAGGTTGCGGTCCAAAGTACTTAAGACGCCTCATAAAGTAATTGCCGGCGTTGGCAATTATTTTTCTTAGCACTTTATTCATAGGGACTTAACTATAAATAACCATAACCAGGGACGGGGGGGTCTGTAAGAATTATTATGATTGAGCTTTTTAAAAAAACCACTCAGACTGTCTCATGTCCGTCAGACAAGCTAAGCTTGTGCTGAACGATCATCGATAACCTGAATTCAGTTTCAATAACTGAAAGCAGATCTGCCTCACGCTCAGGACACAAAACTATGACTCGTCATCGTGGTTGCGTCAACTCCACATGTGAATGTGGAGTATGTGAAGATATACTACAGAAATGATCCTGTGAAGTATGATCTTGCTGTTCTTAGTTTAAGGAGGGTAGTTATTAGCAAAGGGGATTCAGGTAGTCGACAGCAGAAGACCTCAGCACCATCTGCGGCTACATATACGAAGTAGTTCTTGACACTCGGACTGTAAAATTATAGTTACGGGTTATGGTAAAATTTCTCGTAACACTTTTGGTGTAACAGTGCTTTACGATGAGTATAATATAATGAACACTTTTCTAATAGACGTAGAAAAAAGTACAATTTGTTTCGTTGTGGCAAAAAGTGTGTTTAGTGTGTACACGGCTTAGAATCATGTTATTTACTTGCTTAGAAGAAAGAAAACTACTAAAAGAAAGAATGATCATCTTCTAGAAGAATGGGAAAAATTTATACGTTTAGAGCACGGTGGTATAAGTAAGGTGTTTCAACTCCATTCATAAATTTTCATAAAACGGGCGCTTAAAAACTGGTATCGTAGTAGGTTGTGGGAGCTTAAGATGACCGCCACCATGTGGTAGTTAATTGTACTATTTGCACTATCGACTGACGTTTGACATGACATTTGACGTATATTTCCCCTCATCTTTCAAAAAGATGTCACAAAACCTAACCTATAAAGCTGACATTTGTGACAACTTGCATTCAAGGACATTTTTACGCAAATTTCATTCATTGTTGTGGACAGTTTCATCATAGTATCCAGTAGACGGCGCTAGGAACTTTAAGCTCCCGTGGCCTTCTGGGATCTCTTTGAAAAAAGACCATTTTAAACTCGGAGTTCGCAGACCTGTTATATATGGCCGTGGTTTAGAGTATGAAAAAGTTTCTGTCTGACGACATTGGAACAATTTTTGGAAGTCTATATATTTATATGTATTTTATATTTTGTGACCGAAGTGGAATAATACCAATGTCATAAATATGCCGTATATTTTAATCTCTTTATATTACAGTATATATTTACTTACGTATATCTTACATACAAATTAATCACTAAACTTACACTTATTGCTAGTTTTTTGGGTTATGATGCATAAAATACACGCACGACCAAATAGTAGGTATAATTTTTGGATAGAATTTTAGATGCCTAATCCAATGGCACTAATAAGTGGTTACCTTCCCTAATAAATTATCTTAAACTAAATTTAAAATCAGAAATCAGGGAAAATACATTTATACACAGATTAGAATATTATCAGTCATCCATTGTTCTTCACTTTGTACTGTGAATCGCATTAGCCTTACTTTCAATTTTAGAATAGTCAAATAACCTAAAACAATTTAAGCGGTAAAGTAAGGCCAAGGAATTCAACCGTCATCCTCGTGAGCTCCTTCTTGCCATAATTATATACATCTCTAAAAAAGAAAAATTTTACAGATCAAATGACCCACCTAGGGTCAAAAAACCTCCAAAATAGCCCATCCGACACGATTTTCTGGCTCCGAACCCTGAAGAAATATTTGGTATCGACAGATTTAGAACAAAAATCATGTCGGATCATAGACAGATCAAAGTCGCAGCTTCACAAAGAAATAAATAAATAATTTAAAATTTCCTATTGTTCCAGTTGTACTGTTATAATCATACAGGGTTGTCAGTATCTTTTGTGATCTCGATGGAGAGGCGGCTTCGGATCGCGCCATTCCCTGCCGTCCTTTGCCTGTTGCCTCCCATCGTGGTGGTGGTGATGGTGATGGTGCCTTTTCTTTTCTGAAGATTTATTCCCGTTGAAAGTCTCAGAAACGACCATTTCGGAACCGTCTCTGTGGCGTTCACCGTTTCGGTAAGGTTCGTCTAGGGTTTCTTTCCGTTTCAGTGGCGAATGATTGGAATTGGCGGCCGTTTTGAGACCCGCTTTGCTACCTGCAGATTCGTGAAGATTCTCCCAGGCCTGTCTGTAGTAACGGTTTAGTCCATTCCTTGATTCTGAACTAGAAGAGTCGAAAGAGGCTACTGTGTTGCAGTCTGGAGAGGCACGATGACGGTAATGTTTGGCACTTCGATTCCTGGGTTGAAAAAAGGAAAAAGATTAGTGAATTATTTTGAAAGATATGAGTTGGCTTCTAAGTGTTGCTCCTACGGTGCAAACAAATCTACTTTAGCTTATCCTGTTTCATCTTTAACGTATGTAATTTTTTCAAATTAAAAAATGACAAATTTAAATGGAATTTCTTCGTATCACATTACCTCATGAGTGGTAAGAGACCGAATTTTTGGCATTTTCGGCTCTAAATTTACAAGCACATAATGATGAAATTGAAGTAAAGATTATTAGAAGATAATTATTGACCAAAAATTAAGCGTATACTGATATTATAACGTCAAACTTGTCACATTTTAGATTGTCACGTAACCTTAAAAAACGTTTGATGAGGGGGGTGTAATTGTTGAAATTTGTTAGCATTATAATAAACAAAAATTGTATTGTATTTTGCGTGCGGATTTGCCTCTGTGCTAAATACTCTACACAAACCTAAACAATTTTGGTAATTTTTACAAAATTTCAACCTATTGTTAAAATGTTAGTCAGTAGTGCAACGATTTATTTTCCCGGCGCATCCACCAATTACAGGTTTGAAAGCGCTAGCCGTTTTAAGATATTAAATTAAATAAAACATTTTATTTAAAAAGTGAACGATCAATTTTAAACCATATATGGTGCAAAATACCGTGCGATCTAAAATAAAACGAATTAAATAATGTATGGGTTAACAGACACAATATGCGTTACCATTAAATTGTTGGCCATCACTCAGCCCAGATATGACACCACTGGATTAGTTTTATGGGACATACTCAAGGAACAGGTCTATATAACCCCAATTCTTAGTATGGATCATTTGAGTTTTATAAAGCTCACTATTTGTCATGCGTATTTAGAAGGTACTATTACACAAAGGGCACATCGCATTATTTTGTGAAATGAGAAGTCTGTCAACGTCAACACCTAATTTCAAGAAGTGAATAGTTATATGTTATGTTATAATGATCTACGTCAAATTTAGAGCAGTAGTACCACCCAAAGCTTGACAGATAACGCCAGCTTGAATTCATTTAGTTTTCGATCGCACGTTACAAACAGGTACAAATATTTAAATAAACTAAAATGTAGTGTGAAGGGTACAAATTACGAAGTAAGAAACGTCAGTAGTGCCAGTGCCTACCTCGCTAAGAAACCAAAGTGTACAGCAAACATTACGTGCTATGAGATGGTGCCGCAGCGGTACATGCAGTGCAGTGCGGGTCGAGTCGTACCTGGTGAGTACTTCACAAGCACTGCTAGATGGGATTGGAGAAATATCCGGCGCGATGCGATCGGTAGTTTCTTGAGAACTCTCTTCTGCCAATCTGTTGATCAGGAAATGGTAGCGCCAGTAGCGTATACCACCGAGAAGGCATCGCACTAGCAGAGGGTAATCGGTGCGAGGACCGAGCTGACGCACCCGCACTGCGACCGCAAATCCATTTATTACGAAGACGAAATGAAACGGAAAGAAACCAGAAGAGAAGAGCAGAGGAAGTTGAAGAAGTACCGAGGCGGAAATGGCCCGAGGAACTCACCTTCGCACTAAAATAACTATAGTCGTGATGATGGCAGCGAGAAAAACGAACCCTCCGAAAGCCCCGAGAGCTATTATCGCTCCCAGGTTGAGTTTTGCTCCGAAGGTCTCCCTTCTTTCGCCGTCGACGGAAAGAGGCACGTTTACGTTGGGAACTTCACCGTGTTGGATGTTGGAACTGCCGGCTATCTCGTTATCTTGAGGATGGCCGGCTATGATGATGTGAGGAAGGGTTGGGGTACTGGAGGTTCGACTGTTGCTGGTTTTGCTTGTTGGTTTTTTGGTTCGGTTGGAGAGTTTGGTGACCTCGGTGTCAGCGTGGATTGTGGTGGGTGATGGTCGTGGTGGACGGGTTCGACGTGATGTGGATGTTCGGGATGGCGTTCTGGAGATTGATGGTGGGGCTGTTGTAGAGACCAGGTCTTCAGCTGTAAAAATATATAAATACACTGAATACTAGACAAACAGTAGTTACCTTGACATTTAGGGGGTATTGCATCATATTGTCCATTAGCTAGACAAGTAATGGATTTTGGTCCAATTAGTTTGTATCCAAATTTACAAGTGTAGTCGATAACTGAACCAAAGATGGTGTCGTTCGTGGAAGATACATATTTTCCGTTTTCGATGTCACTTGGAGGCTCGCACTGAACGGCTAGAATGAAAAAACCATAATTTTAATTACAGTAGTTTGAACGAAATGTGGTACTTAGTTAAAAATGTGTATCTTATCTGAACTTACGTTCACATCTGGGTGGAGGTCCATTCCACCTCTCATCAATATCACAAGCTAACTGTGCTCTTCCTATCATTTCGTAGCCTTCGTCGCACGTGTAGACCACTCTACTTAAGTAGCCAACACTATCATTAACTAAGAGATATTCACCATTAGTGATATCAGCAGGGTAGCCACACTGAATTCCTAAAAATATAAGTTAGACCATTAACAAGAACCACGAACGTAAGATTACGTTTGCAGACTGGTGGAAACTCGTTGTAAAACCCAGTTTCTAAACAAGTTCTTGCTGAAGGACCGACTAAAAGATGTCCCTCGTCACAAATGTACTCAATAGTAGTACCAACATTAAAGTTTTGTGCCAACATTGTTGAATTCGGAGGTTGTTCCGGGCGACCACAAGCTTTAGGCTCTGAAAAACAAACACTCAGCACCTTTTAAATAAAAATAACAATACAACTTACGATGCTGACAAATGTAATTCAGATGCATATTACAGTCAGTATCTGACCATAACCATCCTTTGGTACCATCATACCTCGCACACTCTCCATTCCCGACAGGTAAATTCCAGAACGACACCGTCACTTCTTCCCCGTTAAGCCACTGCCAGCCACCGTTTTGTTTATCCCTAACAGCTCCCATCCAGTACTGACCACTAGCGTCACTCCTGTGTCTTCTCCACAACTCCCAACTAATAAAACCTTGTAGCGCAGGGTTACTTTCGTCCACTAAAGTACCACCGCGACTCCTACAAAATGCTAAAGCATCTCGATATTTCACCGGCTGACGGTTGTAGAAGATGTAGCATTTTCCGTTATAAGTTGCGGTACTTCCTGGTGGTTGGTCCCTGAATTGTGGACAACGCTCTATGGGGAGTGCTTGATCGGTGTAAACGAAAGCTTCACAGATTGAAAGTTGGCTGGGGGCTGGGACTTCAAGGTGTACGCTGACGAAAGCTCCTGGCATGGGGGGGTTACATGGGAGGAAAAGCGGCTGACCTTCTTCCAGAAAACCGGTAAAGCGGTTGCAAATTGGGTTGGTGCCAAGGTCGGGGCGGTTGTTGCCCACTCGTACTACGATAGTTGCGGGTTTGTTGGCACCTGTGTATATAAAAGCAATTAGGAGAGTATTTAACTATTCATTTGTAGTGGTAAACTCAAACTAATTTAAAGATGAAAATATACTTATGTAAAGTTTGATATATAGGTATTATGTGTCCCGCGTTATGTTCGCACTATAGGCAGTAATGTCTGTTGGATAATAAACCTCTATTAGTCATTGTTATTATTATTATTAATATGAGCAGGGATTTGCATAGGTATGGTTACACAACAAAGCAATCGTGACTATGAATCTACAAGACTGCGCTTTAAACATTGTCGATGATAGTAAGTACTGTGTAAAATAATACGTCCCCACGAAATAAAAAAAAAAAGTGTTGAAACTATTTAGTCATGGCTATACGATTTTAATTTAATAATATTAACTTTTGTCCCTCTAAAAGTAGCTATTTGCGTATTTGTCTGGATAAAACCGACGATTTTTATTTAAAAAATGTACGTTGATATTGCGAATGCTTGAAATTAATGCAAGTCATCCTACAATTTTGCAGAATAAATGTTATTTAAATTTTATGAAATAGTATACCTGAGTTATTACTCTAGGCATGCAGATTTTTGGAAAAAAAATCAAAATTTTTTTTTTCCAAAAATCTGCATGCCTAGAGTAATAACTCAGGTCAGGTCAGGTCAGGTTATTTAACTTTGAAACTGCAAAACCGAATGCTCTGAAATCTTGTAAAAGTTTTACGGTAATCGTAAGCATAGTAAATCATTAATCAAATTTGATCCCTTTAACTACCAAAAAATATGACGTTATCTCATAATTTTAACGAATAAATCTAAAATATGCACAATATTAAGACTATACATGTCGTTTATCAATGCATTAATATTTTTTGAATTGCTTATGCAAGGTGAGTCAAGAAATTAATGAATATGAGGCCATGTTTTATTGCTCATCTCATTGCACCTATCCAAACTGACATACGTGTTATTGCGGAAATTTGAATATGGGAAAACTCACTAGAAATATATGCACACGACACTTCTTTACCTGTATTTTAACAATGCATGCATATAATAATTTTAACTCATAGGGATCATCACCAAAAGAAATAAAATTCTTAAAGCTAAATTTTATAATTTTTCGAAAATGTATTTATTCGAATGTACTTTAAAGGCTAGGAAAATGAAGTTGACCAATTTTTTTTTCGTAATATTTCAGTAGACTTTACAACTTGTGTACAGTTAAACGTGGTCTATTGTTTTTTTTTATATTATTTGATAGTATCCATTTCTCTCTTTGTACTAACTGGAAAAAAAAGATATCCATATTTCCGGATTTATTTTTAAAATCAATTTAGAAAGTTGCAGTCATGTATAAATTATATTATTAGCATCATAACTGTGAAATTGGTTTATTATTTATGTTGCAATATTATTACATAAGATGAAAGAAAGAAATAATTCATAACAAAGTGGGCTTTTTTTTGTAGGAAAGTGAATAATTTTGTTTTCTAATAATATGAAGCAGTTTAGAGTTATTTATTATTAGAAATGTTCATTTCCATTAGGATTATCTGAGGAAAAATTTTCATAATAATTTGCATGATTTAATACCTTTAAAAATATAAACAAAACATTTTAACATCATAAAAAATTACACTTCTTAGTGTAATAATGGTTTAGCGTCAAAAATCTGCATATAAAAAACTGAAATATATTTATTATACAGTCCGATCTGATTGCAAATGTGCCATTGTAATAGTATTGAGAGTGCAGTAGTGTATTAAATTTTTTTCTATAGAGGTAACAAACTATATTCCCTTATTATATATTATAATACGGCTATTTTACAACCACTGGTTAGAGCCTAAATGATAGATTGTCATGACCCAACATGTTCTTGTTATAATATTTCCACTTACTAATTGTTGCGTCAAACCCATCTATTTTTTTAAAGAGAATATATAAATAAATTTTAATTAATATGTATTCCGAAGACCCTGAATGCCTGATTTTGTCTAATTGGAATTTCGAGGAAGCTCTGTAGTTCCTCTATTAAGATGGCATTTTTTTGTAGAATTTCCACAGAAGTTGGCACGTTCAAGTGAAATTTGCTTAAAAGTATTTTTAATTGAGGTCATTAGTAAGCTAAAGTTTCTTGAGAATGAGTGATATTTTTATTAAACTAATTATTTAGATATTCAAGACTTGATAATTTTACTGAATTATTATTTATATAACACTTAGAAATAATTTGCATTTCAGTTGCAAAAAATTCTGTTGATTGCTTCAGCAGGAGAACACAAATTTAGATAAAGAAAAATTGGCATACTTTTGTGGACTCAAAATGACAGGAATTGGCAAATTGTTCTATAATTTTCTAGTGTATTTTCACAAGAGTCATGCAAGCATCTGAAAGTAAATATTTTATCTGTTTTACTTTAATTCTCAAAAAAAACGACTATTCTCTGGCAAAATGCATTTAAGTATTAAGAGTTTAATTATTTTCACTTACTAATAACTTAATTCTGCCTACTATTCAAACTCAGCGTCCATTATTTCGTTCTATAAATCTGGGCTGTCATTATTATCATTTTCTAATTCTGAGTTAGAGTTCTGAGTACGCTCTTGATTTCCAGTTTACAAAAATTTTGCAACATCTTTGGAATAGGTACTTTTGGGAAAAGACCCAAACCGTAATCAAGCCCTAAATTTTCGATCTTATTTTTGAATGAAGGAAGAAAAGTTATGCTTGTTATAGTAGGATTTAAAAAATCTCTGCGCAATTTTAATAGGGTTGTATCGACAATGGTGTGGTAATCTAAGGACCTTATGACGATTTTCAGAATTCACCGAATACCTTAATATGCTGCATTGTCTATTACTACCACACATTTTCCTTGTAACTTTATTAAAGCAGGAACCATCCAATTTTGAAAAGATTTTCCATCCAGGTGTTGTTTGTTTTTGACCATTTATATTTTTTCAGTTATTTAAAATAATAATGTACAAACAGAAATCTCAAAATTTGTTTTAATTTGTTCTTAATATTAAATAGGTTCTCTTTCAACATAATCAATTTGAGAGAATATTTTATCGCTTATCGAAAATTTTTACAGACGCTTAATCATTTGAAGTACGTTCTGAGTGTAACAACCATGATCAATTTTCTATTCACCTGATAATTATACATCAATTTAATATCTTCATTATCTTTTTTGTTATCATATTTCTTTTAAGTACGTGACTAAGCGTTAAAAAATAATTAAGCTAAAAAAAGATTGTAATTTAAGTGCTCTTCTCGAATCAGAATTACTTAAAAATAATGTTTGCACACATGTTATGCACGTACAGTCTAGCACGTGTATTCTAATTTGTTAAGTACAAAGATTATTGTGTCGTACGAACTTTCTAGATTTTGTGATAAAATAAAACACAGGAAATTCTATTGTTTAACTTTCTTAAATTTTAAATATTTTTATTGTACATAACGTTCATATGGGTATTAAAACAAGGTTATTGGAAACATCCTGTAATAATGTGCCTGAAGGTCTTGCAATAAAATTCTTTTTGTTTTCTTTAACCTTAATTACTCGCTTAAATAAGACCAAGATGTCTTAATTCCATGAAGATTCTTGATCAATTTGATACAGTTAAGTAGCGCGCTTTTTTAATAGAGTATTCTATTACGAAAGTGTCAGATGGCTGTCGGTGCAGAACTGAAACACTTGACGATTAGCTGCCAAAAAAACCACATGATCTGTACAATTTACGTTGTGTTAGCCTCCGTTGTAGAAAAAGTTTTCACCGAATTTCTTTTTTAAAGCGCGAAAAATACGAGACCGCAAAGCAACCTGACACCAACTAATCTGGTACACGAATGACAAAATATTTAAAAAATAAATACCAGCTAATTAAGTCGTTTTTTTAAGAAAGTGATCTCTTGATTTCACATTATTTCATTTCTGTTACAAGTGATAGTAAACGCAAAAACCTGCCAGCTTCCACCCGATACACTTATCTTGCATTCGATTTCATGACAAATATCTACGATTTACTTTCATTTTATTACAATATTGTGCAGAAAGTGTGGTTTTTAAACAATCATGATTAAGCGATTTTCCTTCCGTTTAACGTAACGTTACGTGATGGTTTTAAGCTATAATTTCAAATTTTCCGCTTCGTTACTCGTCTTGAGAAAAACTTACCACAGCAGGGTTTTCCAAAATCTAGTCTCACCAATTGGACCATGTAAGGTTCCAAGAGGTTAACGTACCACCATGGAGTACGCTCTGATTTTGTAAGTGTGCAAGTGTCGCCGCTGAAAAATGCGCTGGTACTACCATCTATGGCCTTCTGGGGGATTCCTGCAGCTTCGGTGCTCACCTGCATGGGAGCCTTCCCAGCAGCCACGTTGAGAACTGTAACAAAAATACACACTGCAGTGAAACTAGGTTAATGTTGTTAGATATGCAAGCTTTCTATGAGGGAGCATTATTAGAGAAAAAAGGAAAAAACGAGATAAATTTATGATATTCGAAAAAGTCATTGTTCTCGTTACTGCCAGGAGAAAGGGATTTAATATGTGTGCATGTATATGTGCTGCATTTAGTTATTGAAATCAGCGTGATAGTGATGTCAGAATGCTACAAATTGATATCACTTTCACCAACTGTAGCGGATAATTTATTAATGTGATAAACAAACCATTAAAATCTGTTTTATCCATTTCAAATTACAACTGAATTTCAAGTGAAGAGAAAACTCTGCTTTTTCTTTTTTTTTTTAACCTAATCCTAATATGGGGCAGCAGACTATTATACAAGCAATCAAAAAACCAAATTAGCGCCCAACAATAGTGATTACAATTTATTGTTTGCATTAATTATGCTTTAAACGAAATTCTCACAATACAACCAAACTAAATCACGAAATGTACGAGTCGTGATGACACGAAGACCCACATAATTGTGTGCGACATGTGTGTTTTTATACGTACAACCTGCATATTCGCCAGGAGAAATTTTAAACCAAGAAAAGACGTTTAAAGGTTTGAACATTTTAAAAAGAGAAATTAGCGATTCTTATCAGATCCAGATACAATCAAAAATAAGCAAATCCGTTGCATACGCGAAACGTGAAAGTTGTGAATCATATGTGATTTTCAAGTCGTGACTTTAAATTCATGCAAATGTAGGATTTTATTGACATTATTAAGTAATCTTATAATGCGCATGTCTTTCTTACGTCGCGTTATTAGCGAACTTTAATGGACGTGACCCACTTTGAGCAGTTTTGCTTTTGGTGTAGTGACGATACAAAATTAACAATGAATTTTGAAAAAAAATTAATCTTAAACTAGTCATTTAAAAGAGGTCAGTGTACGGCTAGTAAGTATCCATTACCAAGGCCAAGGTCTACATGAATAAACTCAGCGTTTCTCGGTCGAGGTCGCACGGGGTTTTGAAATTAATTTCTGGACACACCTTATCGCCTTGAAATTGGAAACAGTGCGGATAGTCAGGAAATTGTTAATTAATTTATGTTTACCCATAATAAAAAATATTCTTTAAATGGTAAAAGTGTATTATAAAGACATGCCTCTGAATATTTAGTTTTGTCACTTTGGCGACATTATGTCCATGCTAACACTGTGACAATAAAACATAGACTTGATAATAATTTTCAAAATAAGAGAAAAATGATCTCCAAAATTTTTGGCCATTACTGTAACACCTTTGATATAGTTTTCAACCTGAAATGTTCCATAAAGTAAAATTCATCGCAAAAGCTTAACAAAAATAGATAAAATTTAAAGAAGATTTTTTTATTTGAAGATTTGTCTTTGACAGAATTTGGTCAAGTCAGACTTTCGTCAATTTGAAAGTTTGAATGAAAAATGCAACGATCAAAGACAAACTGTCAAAAATCCATGTCTCTCTTTGATCGTGTCTTGTCAAAAATTCTACAGCTGTTTTTGAGTTTGGTTTAACTTCATTTTATTTTATTTTTTATGACAGTGCATTTATTAAGACCGTGTCGTCCAAGTGCAATAGAAAATACAAATCTAATCCAATAACAGTAACATTTTAAGTGTTATATAAGGATCCATCTGGCGAATAGCTATTTTCGTTTTCTCGACGTTTCATGACCCCTAGAGTAAGGCACAATAGGTTTCCCGTTTCCATCTGTTTGCTGTCTGTCGACGTGTGTAGTCCGTATAGATGGTAAAACGGTGTGTCTAATTATTCGCTTCAAAACTGCTCATAGTATATTTAAATGTTTAAATAACATACTCATGTACTCGTGGTTTATGAATCGGCCTTGATTTTTATCACAATTCTCTTACAAAATTTTTTGTGTGCCACGAGTGTCACGTAGCCAATAATTTGGTTACGCGTATAGCAGCTAAATAAGTTTAGGTCAATTTTTTGGTAGATTGTAGATTAATTTGAACAATTTTGTTAAATTTGTTTGAACACTTATCTGCATAATATTTACATTTGGTAATGAAAAATCTATAAAATAAAATCTGTTCAGAGACACCACGAAATAGATGTCCCATTTCAAGAGTTTTACGCAATTGAGACAACATTCGTTTTTATAGAAACATGTACCTCTGTTCTATTTTTTACTTCCCGAGTGTAAGGTAAATAGAGTCCATTTTTTCTCCACGTTTCATGATCCCCTAGAGTATGAAAAAATAGGTTCGCGTTTTCATTTATCTGTCAAATATTGTCTGTATGTTAGGAATATTGTGAAGATAGTAAAATGCTAACCAAAATTTGTGTAACCATCCCCACCAACGATTTGATGACGTCTCTTCATCATATTGCTGTTATCTAAATTTTATGAAATTATGTACTCCTGTACTTGTGGTTTATGAATCCGCCTTGCTTTTTATCAGAATTACTTTACAAAAAAAGACTGTGATTTGTACGATCTAATCTTTTTTTACTTAAAATAAGTAAAATTTAGTTATATTTAAAATCTAATTCTATAATATTTCGAAAAAAACTGAATTTGTTCGACTGTATTTAAGAGGCGAGGGAAGTTCTGTCTAAATAACCTTAGACCGATTTTGCTTGTAGTTTCATTGTTTCGGTAATATACTTATAAAAAATTTACAACAACTTATAGTTTTGGAAATTTCATTGTATCCTATAAAATTTTATTGGCAATAACGAGACGGACAGTAGTACAATAGCAAGAGGCATTTACAACTTGAAGTTGTCGCGTGCCGGTAATCCCCAGATGTTAGAAAACAGAATAATCCAGGTTCAGACATCGTTACTCACGAACTAAAATGACCATTATTTTATGAGTACAACTACCTGCTAAATGTTCTCCGACAAATTTGGGTGAACTGGTGTGAGCCATAAATATTTCTTACCAATTTATTACTGTCCGTTTCGTTATTGTCAAAAAATTTTATAGGGTAAAATGAAATTTCCAAAACTATACATATATATAATAAAATTTTCAAGTAAATTTCTATCTAAAATTATTTTTCTGCGATGGCTGAAATAATTGCACTTAAAAATGTTCACATTGAGATTTTATTTCAATAATTAATTTTATAGCGAAAGATCTTGTGAAAAAAACGCATGTTGTTGCATTTAGAAAATATTACATTTTCAAAAAATAATTTAAATTACAATAAACATATCCAGTATTTTCGAGTTAAGTTTTTACTATACACAATTTTGCGATGACGTCATCAACATTTTTGCAAGGACACGTATAACAACTGGGGATTGGTGCAGTGTAATACTTGCTAAGATAAGACTGATTGTGGCAAATTACAAACTCCCTAACAAAATAGAGGGCGGGTGGGCGGAGCTAGTACATATTAGTTAAAATAAGATTGATTTTGGTAAATGACTGAACAATATTAAGAGTAATCACTGGAATGAAGAGGGGGTGGGTGGGCGGGGTTATTGCTTTTCTTCAGATGTAGGAGATACATGTTATAGCAAATAAGAAGTGTAACAAAAAATTACGATTCATGTTTTTTTAACAGCCTACGTTCTATTAGTTCCTATTCTCACTTTACAAAAGAACATATAATTCACCCCTCCCACCCACCCCGCCTCTATTTCAGTGATTCATTTTGTCTAGTCCGAATGGAGGTGGATTTCAATTGAAGAGGGATAAAATCGTTTGAATGAGAATAGTGTGTGTGGACGGGGCTAGTATCTGCTAAGATAAGATTGATTTTAGTAAATGACATACCCTCTAAGAAAATAGAGGGCGGGTGGGCGAGACTAGGACTTGTTAAGATGAGATTGATTTTGGTAAATGATATACCCTCTATGAAAAAAGAGAGGGGTGGGTGGGTGGGCGGGGCTAAAACTTGCTAAGTAGGACTGAACAATATTAAGAGTCACTGGAACGAAGAAGGGGTGGGTGGGCGGGGTTACTGCTTTTAGGGGGGATGAGCAAATATATTTTGATCAAAAATTTACCATGCTTATGATAAGTTTAAAACATTTCCAAGATTTCAAAGCACTTGATTTTGCATATTAATTTTAATGGCCTAGTACTTTTGGAGATTATCTGTCTACTAAAAATCCGGGACGGCAGACAGACGGACAGACAGACGGACATACAGACGGACAGACAGACAGACGGAAACGGAAGACCTATCTTTTCGTCTTCTAGGGGTCATGAAAGTTCGAGAAAAAGTAGAGAGTCGACCACGGACTCAAATACAATACTTCCTTCGCTTACGCTCGAGAAATAAAAACGTTTTAATTCCTAGTCAAACTGCTACGATTAAGATTATATTGTTACAGGTAATTTAGTTGATTTATTTGACAAGATTATACACCAAGCGACTTTTGCTGTTTAAAAAATGTAATACTTTGCAAAAAGCGTAATAAACTAACTATCTATTAGACGAAATTGTGGACAACTAGTATTTATTAATGGTATTCAGAAAAAATATACAGGATGTCATGTGCCTTACATTTTTTACTGTGTTTTTATATTCATGTTTAAATTAAAGTAATTCGTACAAATAAAACTAGAATACTTTTTATATTTACAGCTACTATACGAAAACATGTACCTACTTAAAGCAATTTAAACATATTCGTTTGTCTGGTAATATAGAATATATTTAATAAGTTAAATATTATCACAATTGGACAATATTATATGGACAGAGAAATAAAAAACAGGCTCAAAGACAGCCACGGATTTTTGGAAGTTTGTCTTTGATTGTGTTTTTGTTGCTTTCTAGGTATACATACCACATGTTTAATAAATATGAGTTAAATAAAAGACACGAAGGACACTTAAAATCCCAGTTCACCAATTTCTGAAAGTTTAAATTGGCAAGTAGCGGTTAACTAATTGCGATAACGTTTAACTGACAGTTAGTGACCGTAAATTTATTGCTAAACTTACCAGACTG